CATTTCTTCACCCCTTCCCTGGGTTTGTGGGGAATTTCTCGTCACCAAAGCTGACAGGTGCTCCTTCGAGCCCGCCGTGAGCTTTCTTGCCCCCTTTGCTTCTCCCCCTCCCCCTTTTCGTGAGGATTGTGGCACCCTTGGGAAGCCGGAGGAGTTCCCTCCCTCTCTCCCTGTCAAGACCCTCGAAGGAGCACCTGTCAGCGGGGCCTTGCTCTGCGCCTGCGCTCTTCATGCGCCCCCTGCAGGGCACATTTGGTAGAGTTCGTGCAGACTGCCGCCAAGCAGCATATTTTCCACAAACAAGTGAGGTGGAGCGGAGGGAGGGAGGGAGAGAAGGCGGTTGACAAGCCTTGCCTAAGACCATAGGAAATATGTTTTCCGATGGTCCTAGGCAACCCCTGTGAAAGGCTCGTGCAACCCCCAAAAGGGTCGCGACCCACAGGTTGGGAACTGCTGTCTTAAATGCATATGTCTAGGTGGAAAATAATCAGTACAGGAAACAAAAAAACCATAACCATAATTAAAAATGTCCCAATATAAAGAAGAAAAATCAAGGCACTATATACCAGTGTGAGTATCCTGAACCTAAGGATGGGAGATAGGCCAAGTTACAGCAGTTTTCTGGATGGCTAAGAAGGTTGAGGCATACCTCAGTCCCGTAAGACTGCACCAATGGGACCTGGAGCTGCTTGTCAGATCCAGTGCAACTGCAGTGATATCTGCTGCTCTTCTCACTCACCACTGAATTTGCTCTCCTATCCTCTTGAATTTGATCTCCAGATATCAACCCTCCCTGTCACTTACTGGCAAGACAAAGCAGAGTCGCACTCCATGCATGATGCAAGAAACCTTGTCTCACTTTACCTTCACCTGGCCAAGAGCAGCACAAAAGTGAAAGATGAGCATGAGGCTGAAGCTGAGCTTCTCCCTGGGCTGCCATGTTAGCCCCGGCCTCTGTGTCCACCCTATCCTTTTGCTAGGGATCCTGCTGGGAGAAGCATCTCAGGAAATGCCGGCTGGCTGGCCCTGAATCTCCTGGGCTGTTGACAGATTTGCATTCTCTTCTGCCTTATTTTTCCACATGATTGTTGGAAAATAATTTACCTCCTGACTTATGATTGCTACCTATTAGGAAACACCTGCTAATCTCTCCCAGTCCCTGAATAAAATAAGCATTTTATAATTGAACATTTTAATCTAAACCAATACATCAAAGTCCTCCCATCTAGCTCTTGCATACAGTAGTGTGTGTACCTTCAAGTCAGTGTTGACTCTTAGCAACTGACAAGTGACAGCAGTTTTCTTGACAAGGTTTTTCAGAAATGGTTTGCCATTGTTCCTTCCCAGGGCTGAGCGAAAGGGCAGCCAGATGGCTTTGTGCTTAAGGCAGCGGTTCTCAACCTGTGGGTCGCGACCCTTTTGGGGGTTGCACGAGCCTTTCACAGGGGTTGCCTAGGACCATCGGAAAACATATTTCCTATGGTCTTAGGCAAGGCTTGTCAACCGCCTTCTCTCCCTCCCTCCCTCCGCTCCACCTCACTTGTTTGTGGAAAATATGCTGCTTGGCGGCAGTCTGCACGAACTCTACCAAATGTGCCCTGCAGGGGGCGCATGAAGAGCGCAGGCGCAGAGCAAGGCCCCGCCCTCCCCAGGGACTCATTGTGCAGCGACCGGATTGACTTCTTCTCGTGCACGCAGGTCAGCGAAGGGGAGGCCGCCACAGCACCCAACTCCTGCGCCCGTCAGCTGGCGACCCCCGAACTTGCGCTTGTCAGCCGGGAGGTCTGGCGACGGCCGCCGGTCTCCTTTGCCACCCTGCCCATCCTCGAATCCTCCTCTTCCCGTTCATGTCGAGCCCGCAGGGGCTTGACAGGGAGAGAGGGAGGGAACTCCTCCTCCTCTCCTAAGCTTCAAAGCACGACCGGCTTCCCAAGGGCGCCACAATCCTCACGAAAAGGGGGAGGGGGAGAAGCAAAGGGGGCAAGAAAGCTCACGGCAGGCTCGAAGGAGCACCTGTCAGCTTTGGTGACGAGAAATTCCCCACAAACCCAGGGAAGGGGTGAAGAAATGGAGCCCCCTTTGGGAGGAAACCGCCACCTTCTTCTCCTTGGCTTTGTGCTCCTCTGTTCCTCGGCAGCCGGGCTGCCAAGCCTCTGCTGGCTGGAACTTCCTTTCCTTCCCTCCCTCTTGGTATCTTCCTCCTTCCCTCCCTCTCCCATTGTCCCTTCCTTCCTTCCTTCCTTCCTTCCTTCCTTCCTTTCCTTCACCTCCCTCTTTGTCCCTCCCTCTTTCCCCTTGTCCCTCCCTCCCTCCCTCCCTTCCTTTCTTTCCTTCACCTCCCTCTTTGTCCCTCCTTCCCTCCCTCTCCCATTGTTCCTTCCTTCCTTCCTTCCTTCCTTCCTTCCTTCCTTCCTTCCTTCCTTCCTTCCTTCCTTCCTTCCTTCGCCTCCCTCTTTGTCCCTCCTTCCCTCCCTCTTTCCCTCTTGTCCAGGATCAGGGCGAGCCTCTATAGCTGATCCGTGCTTCCGCTGAGCAGCCCAGATACAGATCAGCTGTAGCAGCTCTCCTGCGCTCCTGCCCAGCAAACCTGCTCAAGCTTTGCTGGAAAATATGCCACTTGCTAATTTAGCAGAAGTGCGAATCAGCTGTAGCCCGGCAAAGCTGAGCAAGTGAGCTGGGTGGACATCTCCTCTGCCTGTGCACAGGCAGGTATGGCATGTCGCCATGGCCACCGGCAGCAAAGCCACCAGCCACACTGGCAGCCTGTCCCTCTCCCCTTGTCCCTTCCTGGGCACCGAGGGGGAGAGGAAGGAAGGGATGAAGAGGGAGGGAAGTAAGGGACAACGAGAGAGGGAAGGAAGGAAGGAACATTGGAAAGGAGGAAGAAAGGAAGGAAGAAGGAAGGAAGGGACAAGCGGAGAGAGGGAGGGAAGGAGGAAGAGACTAAGAGGGAGGGGAAGGAAAGAAGGAACAATAGGAAAGAGGGAGGGAAGGAGGAAGAGACTAAGAGGGAGGTGAAGGAAAGGAAGGAAAGAAGGAAGGGACAATGGGAGAGAGGGAGGAAAAGAGGAAGAGACTAAGGGAGGGGAAGGAAAGGCAGGAAAGAAGGAATGGACAATGGGAAAGAGGGAGGGAAGGAGGAAGAGACTAAGGGAGGTAAAGGAAAGGAAGAAAAGAAGGAAGGGACAATGGGAGAGGGAGGGAAGGAGGAAGAAACTAAGAGGGAGGTGAAGGAAAGGAATAAAAGAAGAAAGGGACGAGGGGAGAGAAGGGAGGGAGGGAAGGTATCAGTGGGAGGGGAGGGAATGCGTATAGCAGTCCTCTTGGCCATCGCTGCGAAGGGCATCTGTTCCCTCTGCCCCCGGAGATAGGAATCTGGTGAAGTATCTGGGCAGTTGAGAATTTTTCGGGGAGGCAAACAGATCCAATTGTGGATATCCGAATCTGTCCGTGATTTCCCTGAACAGTGCTGGATCCAGTCGCCACTCCGAGTGGTCGACTGTAACCCTGCTCAGGGAATCTGCTTGACGATTCGCCTCCCCCGATATGTGTTCCGCTATGGTGGATCCCAGGTTGGACTCTGCCCAAGACTCCAGACCCTGAGCTTCTAGCATGAGAGACCAGGACCGGGTCCCTCCCTGCCTGTTGACGTGTGCCTTGGCTGCCACGTTGTCCGTCAGTATTAGAACGTGCTTCCCTGTCACTAAGGTGGAAAAGTGACGGAGTGCCAGATGAATGGCCCTGAGCTCAAGCCAGTTTATGTTGTGGGCTAGGTCCGAACATGACTATTGACTCTGTGCTAGATGAGTCTGGAGGTGGGCGCCCCATCCAAACAGACTGGCGTCTGTGGTCAAGGTAAGCCTGATTGGTTCCTTGAAGAGGGACCCCCTGGTCTAACGCCGATGAGGTCCACCACAGAAGGAATGATAATGTCTGGTGTGGAACCCTCACCCTCCTTGTGGACGAACTCATACGCCGTTTCTGAAACGGAAGTAGAAACCACTGGAGGTCTCTGGAATGTAGCCTGGCCCACGGAACAATCCCCAGACAAGAGACCATCTTGCCCAACAGTTGAGACAGTTGGACCAGGGGTACTACCTTCTCTCTCCGAACCCGGTGAACGAGAGTCCTGATGCTTTTCCTGCGATCCTGAGAAAGACCTTGCATAGATTTGAGGCAGGCATCCTCCCCAGTCCCATCCCAGAGACCGACAGATTCACCCCCACAGGTACTCTGCAACCTGAGTGATCAGCTGGCCACGCCCCCGGCCATTGATCACGTGACCCTGGGACACTGAACGTCATAAGTATGAATCAGTTGTCAAGCATCCGAATGTAAATCACATCACCCTGGGGATGCTGCAACAATCATAAGTGTGAAAAATGATCATAATTCGCTTTTTCAGTGCTGTTGTAACTTCAAACAGTCACTAAGTGAATTGTTGTAAGTCGAGGACTACCTATACTTTCCCATTTTTTCCTTTTTGGGGGGGGGTCAAGCTGGATGGGGGGTTGGGGGGTCACCACAACATGAAGAACTGTATTAAAGGGTCGCGGCATTAGGAAGGTTGAGAACCACTGGCTTAAGGGAAGGCTAAAACTCATGGCCTGGCCTGATGCCTTCACCACTGTACCAAACTGTCTCTATAAAGGAGCCATCACTTCTGCATTTCTTTTATGTGTGATTGAGGTTCCTGCATCCCCCTAAGCCCCCATGGTTTATGGCTGAAGCTTGTGTGAAGCAGGCCACCTGAGTGCATTTTGGTTCAGCTCAATTTCGCCAGTCTAGCTTTAAAGTAGCTATTTTCAACCTGCTTTCCAGATGTGTTGGATCACAATTCCCATCTACCTGGATTAACTTTTGTGTGCATATAGAACTATGTTCTGTAATTAACAAATGGCTGTCCTTTGTGGAAATACCATTCATAGCATTAACAAAATATTATATATTTTAACAATATACTACTGGAGAAAAAATAAAGTTTCCACAGCCTGCAAGAGTAAATGGTTCCAATGGCACCAGAATGGTGCCAAATATTTTATTGAACAAATGACATTCTTAACCCGATTACTGAATTAACCCAGGTTCCTGGTTCAGACAGGATTCTACTTCTTGTGCCCTATCCGTTATGGGACGTTGGTGATCATGTTGGCGATCCTGTTTTTATCAGCAGCCGCACGAAAAAGTGGTGTTGAATTTTGTCCAAACCAGTCCCTTAGATTTTGAAGACAGTATACAGAACTGTAAATTAACAAAAGGGAGTTTCACAACCAAGTCAAAATACCACACTCCAGCTAAGGCAACAGGCACCAAGTTGGTGACAAGATGTGGAAATGCAGGTTTGCCTCCATTCACCTGGCTCAGCAGGATTGTGCGCACAGCCTTTAAGATCGGTGGCTGCTCCAGTCGTGAAAACAGGCTTGTTTTGGCCTCACTTTTCAGAAGTGGAGCAAAGTTGAGAGAAAGGCAGCCCAGGGAGCCAAAGAGGTGGCGGCTGAGAAAACCACCCAAGACAGAAAAGCCGGTGGGCAGAGACGGGGGGGGGAGGGAGGGTCGGGGAAAACCAGTAAGGGCATTAAAGACACCCCAGCGTGGCGGAAAGGTGGGGGGGGGCTGACAAAGGGAAGCATTTTTCCCCGGCCTTCCCCACCGGGGCCCTCCTGCTGCCGGGTGGACGCTGCCGCCAAGTGGGCCGGGGGCCGGGCTGTTCCCCTGGCCGCGACCCTTCACTTCCATGATCCCCCCGCCCCGCAAGGGCCAGCCCGGGATGCAGGTTAGGCCGACGGCCTGTTGCGCGCCACTGAACGAGTCGGCCTCGATGGCGCCTCCTCGCGGAGGGGGGCTCCGAGCTGGCGCCGCTGACCCACTTCCCACCTGGGTGCCAGGCCCCACCCCTTCGGCAAGAGGGGGGAAGTCTCCCTCCGCTTCGCCCGCTTGCCAAGCAGGCTAATTGCCGTGCCACTCCCTCTGCGACCCCTCCCCGGACAGTTCCAGGGGCGCAAGCGCAGAAGCACTCCTTCGTGCTTCCGATCCCGCCCTCCTCCTCCCCAGGCACGGTAGATCTGGACGCGTGCGCGCTCCATTTCCTTCTCGGTGCGCAGAGGTCGAAGGATCCCGAAGGCGGAGGATTTCCCCGCGTTCTCGGGCGGGGCGCATGCGCCTTGCACTTGTCGCTGCTTTCTCGGTCTCCCTTCGGCCACCGCTGGCGCGCGGAGCCGGGTGGCGCATGCGCGGTACTAGGAACGAGGGGGCGGTCCCGCTGGGCTGCAGCCACCGGATTCCTGTCAGGAGCGGCGCCCGCGGAGCCGCTTCCCCGTTGGCCCCGGAGCGGCGATGCCCTCGGATTTCATCTCTCTGCTCAGCGCCGACCTCGACCTCGAGTCGCCCAAGTCCCTCTACTCCAAGGGTGAGTCGGCCACCGAGGCCGCTCTGGGCCTTCTCGGCCAGCGGGCGAGCCAGGCCGCCGCAGCCAGCGCCGCCCGGGCCGGATTGCGGGCGGCCCGAGCGGTTCGAGCCTCGCGGCAGGCCGGTGCCTGCGAGCCCCGCGGATCCGCCTGGGGGCTGGAGGCGCTTCCCGAGAGCGGCGGGAGGTGCGGCCCTGGGGGCGGGGAAAGCGTGGTCCGAGAGGCGAAGGGGGGGATCTGGTTGCCCCGAGCTCGGCTGAATTGGGCCGCTGCTGAAGGAGGCCGGGCTGGCCTTGGCTTCCTTCGACTCCAGCGCCGGAAAGTGGCAGCAATATCCGAGGAAGAGCCGGGCGTGGGTGGCTTTTGACAAGACCAATCCAGTCAAACGGAGGTTAGATAAGAAAGATGCGCGAAGCCTCCGGTAACTGGGAAGGCGACATCTTTTGTTTTCCCTCGTCTGGCTTAAGATGTAAACAAAAACTATCATCAAACTATAAAGAGACTGGAAGTCCTAGGCTTGTGAAAAACTAAAAATAGAATCTGCTGGTTGCTTTTGAAATTAGAAGATTTAACTCTTTATCACAGTAACCTAAAACTCCCATTAAATTAAGTTTCTATTTTGTGGGGTAGTAGGTAACTATAGGTTAGCAGCAGGTGAGTAGCAAATATAAAATATGTTAAATTGTTGAAAATGCCTGTTATTAATAATACCCAAATATGTGTTGGGTATTGTTGTTTGCTCAATATTGCTTCCATCAATCCTAGCAGTAACTTCAGATTTTTATCAAGCTGTTGATTTATTACAGTTACCTGAAGCTTTGAATCTGGGAAGCTTATTTTCAAATTGGTATTCATGTAGGGTTTTTTTACCAGTCTATGTTCACAATTAACTGTTTTGTGGTGTACAAGAGGCTTGTGAACTGATAGGTAGTGCTTGACTATCTTTCTAAGAATATTTTGTCATTTTTGTCATATTCCCTTTGTATGGAATGTTCTGTTATTAGAAAAACCGGTAGTTGTTAAATCTTTAGCAAAAGTTACTCTGACAACCACAAATAACCTTTCATTTAATTTAGATTAGTGATACCAATTATGATGCTAAGAGCATGTGGTTGTGATAACCAAGCAAATATAATCTTACAATGTATTTGCTTTCAAAAATAATTCTGAAAGAATGATAGTAAATATTATTCAAGTAAAACATCCTAAATAAACCTAAATCAAAATGCTGATTGTTGCAAATATATTGAATGTTGTATGTTGAAGTATTATCATTTTGTAAATAAATACAATTTCAATAATTTTCATAGAAGATTTAGTTAAGTATTTTTAAACACATAATGGCTTCTATAGCATTCTTCTCAGTTTCTCATATGAAAGGTAACAAAACTAGAAAGAATACATAAATTATCTAGAAACAACAGACGCCATATATGTAACATTTTATGTACAACTTATACAGTATATGAATTCCCTTCTCACCTTGGTGGCTGCTCTGTGTCTTCCTCAATCTTGGATACTCTACCAGAGACCTGGAAGTTTGAGGATCCTGTGCAGTACCTTAGCTGTTCTTAACACCACACTTCTCTGGAGAGAAAGTCCTGAGATGGTTTCTGGGATTGATTGAAGCCTCTCCCAGCTTAGGAGCCACAGCCCCAAATTCTACCATTGCTGGGATTGCTTTGGTCTTTCCTTTCCACGTCCTTTTTAGTTCCTCCTTCAGCCCCTGGTATTTCTCCATCTTCCCACAGGATCTTAGCTCTCATATTGTCGCCAACCTTCGATGGAATCTCCCATCTGTATTTGTGAAGGCCTAGCCCATACCTTATGCAGATGTTCCTGTACACAGTACAGTATTAGTTACTTGGTTGTACTGTTAGTGTATGCTGTTCCTGCCTGCTGCCACCATGTGTTGGACTGTCTCTGAGGCCTCTCTGCATAGTCTGCCCCTTGGGTTCTGTCTAGCGTGGTAGGCCTCTGCTTTTGTGGATCTGGTGCTTAATGCCTGTTCTGCTGCTATGATCAGTTCTTCAGTGATGTGTTTTAATTCAGCCCTTTCCTGCCACTGGTAGGGTTTCCCTGAGTCTGGCAACTCAGTTTTCTGTCTCATCAGGATCTCTTTTGTCATGGCTGTTCCTCTGCTTGATCTCATTCTGTATGTGTGAGTGGGTATAACATTTGTATATATTTAGCATAACATTATTTCACCCAAAAGACAACAACAAAACAACGCAGGACTTTAAAGGATGCCTGTTTTTCATCTAGAAGTCAACACAATTTAAAAATAGACTAAAGGAATAATGTAATGCTTATCTAAGTACTTAACTGTAATACATGCTTCATCTTCATTGTCTTGTGCTTAAGGTAATTTATAGTGTAATTCTCTTTGTTTTTGCAATAACCTTATAAAGTAGAGACAGTGATGGCTCTCAGTGAGCCTAATGGCTGAATGGAGTTTAATTTGTAGGGTCCTAGATTGGTACTTAGACCATCTTGGTCAGTTGCTAGAATTGATATAGCAAACTAAATAATGCACAAAATGATAAATATGGTTTAGACTGCAAATTTATTTTGTGGCATTGATTTGGTTCTTATTATAGAAGGAAGGTTGCAAGTCAAAGATGTGGCAGGAAACCAGAAAAATAAATGGTAGTGGTGAAAATTTATTCATCTTGGCTGTTGCAATAGATATAAAACTATTGTCTTTCCTCATTTGCATTGCATCTATTATCATTTATAACTTATAATCATGGCAGCCATATGGATTTAAAAAATCCTTGTGCAATAACATTTTTATAGGAATGTACAATTTATTGAGTGGCCTGCTGCATTCAATAATTACTGGAAAACATAATGATAAAATATTCTTGTTTTAGACCAGGCATGTCAAACTGCCGGCCTGCAGGCTGGATGCATCATGTCGAAGTCTCGCCCACCCCATTGCTGGCAATGGGGAAAAAGTCGTGCAACGTCGCACAACATCACATGACATTGTGAGTTTGACATGCCTGTTTTAGACGATTGAAGTTTAATTTGGCAATTTATATCAATAATTGATCCCTGATTCATTTACTCATAACTGTAGCTTTCATATTTTTAAAAGATAAATATGAAAACCAAATACAGAAGCATTCCTGTCTAACCAAGAGAAATAGTATTGATGGACTTTCTGAAGTAGACTGTGTTTACTACCAAACAGACTATAAACTGAGAAACACTTTAGTAATAGAAAATCTATTTATAGTCATCTCTACTGAGAATTTGGCAAGGACTTCCTGAGTATGGGCATTATTGGAGAACAGAAAGAGGCTTGGACAGGATCTGAATGCTTCGGCATTAGGCATATGCACCTGGTGGTTTGCCCTAGCAAGGTAGAACCATGATTAGAGAGTCTCTCGATCTTCTTAATCCCCCCCCTCACTTGCTCCAGAGACATGAGAGAGATTTAGCATGGCCCTTAGCAGGTGGGTAGCCTAGCTGACCTTCACTGATAATCGAAGGCCCAAATAAAAAAGGTTGCATTTCTCTGCTGATTGTATACGAGACCACAAGGACACTTCAGGGCTTCAGTCTGGGAAGTTGAGAAAAAGAAGGCAGTCTGGGAGAAGGCAGTAGAAAACTTGCCAATTAGCAATGAAAATTTATAAAGTCACCATAAACTGAGCTCAACTCAAAAGCGAGTTTGTTTGTTTATATGCCGTTCATCTAATGGTGTGTTTTTTATATGAAAGAAGGCTAGCAGTAGATCATGATTAGAATATGGTTGATTCTTAGTTTACTTTCTCTTCTGCCAAGATTCTAATGCCTGCTTTTAAAACCATCCTTGCTTTCCATTTTTCAATCAGCAGCACTTGGAGTTCAGACTATTTGCCACTAGTTTAATTGAGAAATAGCAAATAAGTACTATAAACACTTAAGCAAATAGAATTGTTCGCATAATTCCAGGATTGGAAATTAGGAGTTCTCACAAATCAGGAATGCAAGGGAGTAAGTGTTCCAGTTTGATTATTAGAAATGAAAGAATTGATTTACTCTTACATATATTAGATAGAAAGCCTGATAATATTAGCAATTATTAGAACTGGGGAATGATATTTAATGTGTCTTGTCTACCCTTAAATACCCTTAAATTTACCAGGCTTGTCCAAGCTGCTTTTCTACTGCTGCATATACCTTTCATACTGGAACAGTATAACAGAATTCAGAAGAGTTTATTTTTGTTGAGTGTTTGGACCATTCTTGGTTAAACTAAGGCACACAATTATGTATTCACAGTAAACAGTATCTTTGACAAGTAAATTTTCAAACAAAGAACACTGTAATTAAGAAATCAACATCAGGGTTCTGTTCTTGGACCATAGCTGGCACATAACTGGTTCTGAGGAATAACTGATATGTAGTAGAAATAGAAAGGCCATCGAACCACCTGTCCCATTTCTTCCCTTCAGAAGCTCGAAGTTAGTCTCTTCCACATTTTCCCCACCATTATATGCTTCATTGTACATATAAATTAATTTGATCTTCCATGACTGAGAGGGAATTTCAACCTTGGTCTCAAGTATCTTAAAGACAGCACTATTCACCTTTGGCATTGCTGATCATTTCTTCATGTTTTGAGTAGTTTTTTTTTAATTGCAAGTGATTGCATTCATGGTATCTTTTTAAAAAAATGTTTTATTGATTTTTTAACATAATCACCTTAATATTTGGTAAACTATGTTGTCTGGGGTTATATTTAAAAACAATAACAATTAGTTTCTATAATTCTATAGTCCACATAATACCTTTCATGGTATCTTTTTTTTAGTACTGTAGGCCACGTGTGCCTAATAGAAACAAAAGAGATCAGTGAAAAAAGAAGAATTAATTTCTTGCCAAATATTTGGTCCTTACTCAAGCAGATGGATTTATTTTAAATCCTTCAAGCAAATGAAAATTGGAAATGCTGGGTGGAAAAATGCAATCAAGGAATAAAGGGTTGCTCTGTCTTTCAAGTCTGACAATAGTGGGCATCCGTATCAGCAAAGGTTGGAAATCAGGTAATAATAGAACTTCAGTGGTTTTGTTTTGAAACTTTGGTATTCTTATAATGAGGCCCTGCCTTTTTGAAGTTCTGTCTACACAGGATATCAAATGTTGCACTATTTTAATTCAACTATCTGGAAGTAGATGAGCTTAATTCATCAAGGAACAGTAGGAAAAGATGCTAGGTTACATCTAGAATGTCGTCCCTCCTCCGCTGCCTTATTCCTGGTTGCTGCAATCCTTTCAAAGGTTAATATGCAACCGGTATGTTTTCCTGTAATTTTTCCAAACATGAAGCACCACAACAGAAAAAAAGAATATTGATTTGCTAATTGACAGAATAAATATTCTCTAATAATTGCTTCTGAGTTTAATTAAGTCAGCAAGTTGGGGGAAGGCCTTTCTTATACTAGTCTTAAAAGGAATAGTTATTGTCCAGCAGAAGCTTATAAATATTGGCTTGGCTCACTAACAGCATTCTTTGTGATTGTCACCAATCCTCTTTTCTCTTGTGTCCTCAGTCATACACAGTGGACTTTGGAAAAAGGCAGGATCATCTTTCATTTATGCAGGGCTTTAAGAAGATAAGATTAAAAGCCAGCCCTGCTGCCGTTCAGTTTGTTTCTTGCTTGGAAATCATCATGGAAGTAGAACATAAAAACAGAATTTAATGCACCCATCCCAAGGAGCTGCTGAATGCATTTATGGATTCTTGTTGCTCAACCTGTGGTTCAGGATCCATCTAGTGATCAGAGTAGAATTGAGATTTACATGAGTATCTCTGTATATTGCTTAAAAGAATATAAAGTATAAAGTGGATCTAGGACAAAATGTTGAAGTGTGAAACTTTTTTATGTGGGATTGCTAACATTCATATTTAGTTGAAACTTTTTCTGATATGACTTAAAGTGGGATAATTATGATACTAATCTGATCTGTCAAGTGGAAAAATGGATTTTATGAGAAATGTTGCATTCTTCCCTTCAGTTTTATTTTCCAAATGGTATAATGTATTAATTTGAAGTACTGCTATTCAGAATATCGCAGGCCTTTTTAAAAAGAAAATTCAGTTATTAATTTACTATTTGAGGATCCAAGTTTCAGAATGATTTAAGCCAATTCTTTTTCCCCCCCACTGTATGTGGCTTAAAATACATGTTAAATTTCTCAAAGACTTCACTCTACCAAGCTACCCAAACTGAAAAAGGTTGAACAGTTCTAGGCCTTATGTGGTTGTGTCATGGGACTGTGACACTGAAAGAAACAAGGAAAATGTTTCCGCCAGGAAACAATGTTTTGGGTCCTATGGTAGTGATTGTTTCATTTTTCTATCTAAAGAGTAATCTTTCATCTTGTACAAAGTAGGTGAGGTGAAGGAGGATCCCTCCTGCAGACGTTGCTGTTCAGTGGCTGAGCTTAATTCTCTGTCCTTGGTCGGCATGCAGGGCACCAGCCCACATTTTTTCCCATATACTGAAGTCTTGTACAAGGGTTTATTTAATAATATTACATGGAGAAAGTAAGTAAGGCTAAACTGAATGCCCGTTGTTCATTTTGATTTGAACCACAAATTAACTCAAGGCTTTGCTTCTGAGTCAGACTCAAAAAACTACTGGCTTTTCTATTTGAGAGAGAACCTAGAAAGTAATCCATGCACATGCAAAGTGTTTTGGCCTCAGTGAAGTGTAGGAACCTAATAACAACAGTGATGGTTGTTATATTAAATTATTGGTTAATTTTTTAAAACTGAGAATAGGACAGATTGATGGGATAAATTAAAATAGCCCTGTATGATCATACTAATGATGTAATTAAACAAAGCTCATTAAAATAGGTAGAACATTATACTATATACACAAATGTTAAGAAATATCCTAAATGCTCGTTTAAATGGGATCAAAATGATAATGCACATTTCCTAAATCAGATTTTTTTTTTGTGCAACAGGAAATTGGTTGTAGATTAGTACACATATTGAGAGAACTTTTCATGAAAATCAGATTGTAGAAAACAGAATATGACAGAATTCTTTCCCATAAACTTCTATTTTTCTGCCACAAAGCATAATTAGCTCTCTAATATTGGGGAGTAAATATTTAAATAAATGAAAGATTGAATCAAAGGTATTTGTAATACTTTTAACTGTTGGACAGCATTTTTTGCTTTTATTTGTGATGCAAAAATATGTATCTTTGTTCTTCTATAGGCTTAAAATATGCATGTCTGTTAACAATTCTGGCTTTATATATGGGAGACTAATGATCTCTGACATTGCCTTTATTTATGTTTTGTTATTAAATAGTAGTGAGGATTTTCTTTGGATCATAAATGCCTCTATTTCTTGTTTGCAGAATCAGTCTATGATCTCCTCCCTAAGGAGCTGCAGCTACCACCTTCCAGAGAACTCTCAATAGCATCCATGAGTCAAACAAGTGGGGGAGAAGTGGGTTCGCCCCCCCCAGGCATAGTGGCTGCTGGTAAGTACTTCCTTTGGCTTAGATTAAGATTTTAATACCTATGAATATTGTTGAACACATGAGCAGTGCTGGAAAAGTTTGCAGATATATATATATATATATATAAGAAGCAGCACTGGAGATGTTATTGCCCACTATATCTTCTGCTTCAATTCTTGCATGTATTTTTAAAAATGTGATAATTGCTAAATTATAATTGAGATGGAGTGTTAAATATACCTCCATTTTTGTTAGAGAAGAATTACAGAGAATCAAAGTACTAGCTTTAATTAAATCATATTCCTTATAATTTGAACATTTAGTTATTTCGGAAGTATATGAAGGGACATCAGCTAAATAGAATTTAAAATTACCATAAATTAAAATAAGCTGAGAAATAATTTGAAAGAGTCTCCTAATTAATGTAGGTTTTAAAGTCTTTTCTCCTATTTTTGTCTTTATTTTATATTATATGAGAGACTGTTGGAGGGAGTTACCTGGTGTAAGGCTGTCTTGGATAGTTTTTATCTTGGAATCATATATATTTGGAGTAGACTCTTTTTCATAGTTCTATTCCAGATTCTCTCCACAAAGCTGTTGCCAGGATTTGGAAACAGGCTGCTTGATTTTTGAAAGGATAAGAGTTGAGCCAGGGTAAACACTTTGCAGCACTGCTCACTATTAATGTATTTGATTTTTTTTCCTCATGAAATCTGTGGATTTAAGTGTAGATCAGGAAAACTAGTCATTAAATTCAAAGAAAATTTCAGCTCAAAAAGTCCTGAAGCATACTTTCCTTTGATCTATAAAGCTAATTAGTTAAAGAGAAAAACAGCTGCAAGAACTTTGGAAAATGCTAGCATTTTAAACCCACAGATCTTTAATGTTTTTCATGTTTGAGCTCATCTTCAAGCATTTGAAAAATTGGCTTAGGAGAACTAGTTGTCTGTTACTTGTCAGCTTTGGTTGTCTGAGTCAGTCCAATTCCTTTCAAAAACTGAACATGTGAGTTTGTTCTAAAAAAAACTAATATACAGTGGTAGATTCTCTTGTGTTACTCCACACATTGAACAACAATCTTTCTAAAGACATGTAGTAGCAGAGTAGAACATAGTTGTGTGTGTAATAGAGACATTTTTCAGTATTTGGCAACTATTTCCAGATAGTTGGCAGACAAGCAATGTTATTCAGTATATATTGGTTAAATTATTTGACTAAGTGGTAGCTTGTATTTAATACCTTTATTATGCTCCCTAAAATATGGGATTTAGTAGTAATAATCATGGTCTGCTTTTTAAAGAAAGATAATATATTTATATAGCAGGGTTAAACGTAGGAAGGTTTAATTCCAAATGTTTTATGCAGTGGAAAATTAACTTGCCCACAAGGCTGGCTTGAAAATTGCAACTTTGTCCTGCAAAGAAGAATGAGTACAGATGATAAAGGATGAAAACTGGAGAATAAGAGAAATCTCCTATGATGCATACCAAGACTTTTTTTAAAAAAAGTGGGGAGAGTAACAATCATTTAAAACCAAAAAATAAACTGTACCTTGTGTGTGATAGGAGCCGGACCAGTAAAGCATATCTTTAAACATTCAACTAACATTTGAATACTGTCTATACTAATGACAGTTGTCTTTACATTCATTTTGGTTACATACAGAGGCCTCCATTCTGAATCAGTTTTACTGGTGTCATTGACAGATGAAGCAGTGATGGCTGATGAGAACTATTTTCTTTATTTAAGACTTAGCTTCTTTTGTTCTCTGCTTCCCTAGTCATAAGGTGAGCCAATATCTGGTGGCCCCAAATCTCTTTCATTGCTTTAAAATCAGGGGTTCTGGAACACATTAACTGGTTACATAAAAAATCTGCATCAGTAAACTTCTGATTTCTTGAGGAACAGGATTGGCTGAGCTCAGGCATGAGGCCCTGCAAGAACAGACTGCTAGTTCTGCTACTATTGATTGGCTTTTAATTTGCAAATCCATCTAAACCAGTTTAAAGCTAAGACATGGAAATTAATCTGTCAAGAGCACATTTAATTGTTTTAGCATAAGAGGAATGCTTCATGTTCATCATTCCAGATGTAAGGTGGCTCCTTTATCAACAATCAACTATCAGTTGACAGCTGTCTTTACATGTTAAGCTCTAAAGAGATGCCTCTGTCTCAAAGCCAGAGATCCATCAGTAACCGTAAAGGAGCATACATTGATATTGGATGCACTACACGATATGGGACCAGTGTGAAACTAGAGAATGATCCCTGCTCTGCATCTCTGAGAAACAGAAGGAGAAGAGGAGGAACCCGTGTTAGTTTATGCCTAAAGGCCAGGAGGAAATGCTTGGATATCATGGGGCAGCCACGGCCCTGGCCAGTTCTTCTCCTGTCACTTTGCCAGCGAATGTGTGAAGAACTGGCGCACCAGTTCAGATTCTAGTATGTATAAAAATAATCTAAATAAATCTCTACTGGCTAATCAAAATATATGAAAGAAATGTAAAACAGGAATATTCCCTGACTAACCTGAAAAAAAAATCATTCTTGAGTCAATAAAGAGATAGGTGGCTGGAGTATTCATTAAATAAAGGGAAGATCCATCACTCTGGGTTGAAGATGCAAGATGGGCTTCCTGATAAACTCCTCAAAAATTGTGATAGCATAGATTCTGTTTTCTAGGCTGCTTTTCAGTTCTTATATTAAATGCAAATTAAAAAGTAGATGTCTTTGAGTTAATTTTGATTCAGGAAGATTCCATGGACACATCTAGATAGTTTATCTGATGTGAACATGAAAGAAATTGCAATCTTGGATTGTTTTAACTTCTCAGTTTAACTTGCAACTCTGATGTTTTCTGGCATCTTCTATCTAAATATTAACCAGGCTTAGCTTTGCTTACTTTTGAGCTCAAGTGGTCAGAGTGGAGCCATTGAAATCACAATGATTTATTTGTTACATTTATTTGCCGCCTATCTCGTCATGAGGCTGCTCTAGGTGGGGGAATATCATGTAGTTTATGTTTGCTTCAATCCCATGGATTTTACCCCTTAAACTCTAAACAAGCCTAAACCAGGATGCAATATAGTATTCTGCTTCTTCTTAGCATAGGCCAGGTTAGCATGTCTGTGACAAGAAGTACGTGGGTATAATTGTAATTTTTAAAAACATTTGCCCAAAGTTGCTGGGGTTGTGCATTTATTTAATAATAAAAATTGAATTGAAGTATTTTTTACATAGATGCCAAGTAATATCCCGAATGAGTTCTGCAAATTTCTCATTCTAACAGTGTTTCAAAAATTGGAAAAACACGGTTTGAAAGAGGAGAAAGTAAGTGAATCGCTTGATGGTGAGATAGGTGGTATATTAATTAAATGATGAATAAATAGAAAAGTAAAAGATCAAGCACAACTTCCTCTAAGTGATTTGATTTGTGTTGGAAATAAGAGTTCATGATGGGTAAAGAGATATCAGGCCTGCTCCTCTCCCCAATGCCTGATGAGTAAAACCAGTTGCCAGGGCTCATGACACGCAGGGGCTCTTCCTGGAGAGGGTTAGAGAAAGGGGTTCTGTCCCTCAGGAATGATTTCCCCCAGCTCCTGAACTAAACATTTTTGTTGCTATAGGAGCTGATATTTGGATAAATATTAGCTGTCGGGCTGCACTGGATTGAGTAGCAGTTGCATTGTTTTACTAATGCTTACAATAAGTATGCTAAAGTTAAAGCTGCCTTTACAAACATCTGAAAAATGGGGGGGGGGATAAGTGTTTCTGTTCCTGAGGTAAAATTCAGTAAAATAAGAATAGCACGGGGTGGGGGGATTCGGGGGGGGGGGGGAGAAGGCAAGTACTTGCCCTCTTAATATCCGTAAGGCATAATGGCAGCTTCCCAGAGCTCTGCATCAGACAGGGCTGAATACTAGTCTGCTGGTTGACTGCATCTAATTATCATTTTTGATTGTCAGACTTTCTAGTCTGAATTGATGAACATGAACATCCAGTTAAAGTTGCAGGTAAGAAATAACAACTTGTGCATCTGTCAGTACAAATATTATTCTGTGTGTCAAAACAGATTGGATTCTGATTTGATTTTTAAAATGCTGTTACGGCATGTAAATGTAATGGGAAATTTTAAACTATTTGGGCTATAATATAAGTGACCAATCTATTCTGAATCTGCATTGAATGTTTAAAGTCAATGGGGTTGCTTTTTGCTATTGCTGGGATGCTAGTTGTTTTCTCTATTAATCCCCTTAACTTGCATTCTAGCTCCGCCATTCAGAGACAGGCATCGGTGGTGGGTTGTGTGCTCTCAGTAGTGAAGACAGATAGTACCAGAGACCCTTAACCCATCCAATCTCACCCAGGGTGTCTAGGTCGGTCTTGTTTCAGACTTCTTCATCAGTCTCTCTCCTTTCCTTTTTATTTTGTTTTATAAATAGTGGATTGCCTTAAGTTAACCTCTAACAAAGCTTTTTACATTGTATCCATAAATGAAACTGGAGAAGATTAGTAAGCCAAAGTTGGCATGAAGGTATGGAAGCAGATTTGCAGCCACTTTGTCTGTGACTTTGACAATACAAGGTCTGGTGTCCCTCTGCCTTTACTTCAGAACTTCTAACTTTTTCTTTACTGACTCTGGAAAGTCCACTTGCCCAGTAATGGGGAAGAATTGTAGCCATCAAAAATAAATAAATCAAGATTCCTAAAGGTTACTTGTATGAGGGATTACTTTTGGAATGAATCTGCCCTAACCCCTGTTTTAGGGGATGCTCGCATTTTCTCTTCGGTCTCCTGAACAGTGAAGAGTATGTGGCAAATGTCTGCAGTGCTTCATTCATTGGCTGCTTGTGCACTTATTATTTTGCATGGGAATGCTCAGAAGGACACCTGAGACACTGGCCCTGCCATCCTTCTACTCTGGGAAAAAGCAGTTACAATATTGCTAGGCTTGTGCTTAGCTTCTTGAAAAACCTTGTGCCTCTGAAGGCCTCCCTCTCAGAGTGCCCTGAACACTCTCAAAGAATGAAATGCTAATGCAGTAAACAAATACTTTAGCTTTGCCTAAAGATAGCCATTTTTTTCTGTGCCTACCAAAGAGCCTATGAAGGAGAGAAGATTTTTATAAACGTAAGACTTCCAAGAGGGAAGAAGACTATTTCACTTTATCTAGCAACTTGAGCAGCAGTTGCATATTTGATCAGGCCAGCTTCTCTGCTTCTGATTCTTGTGCTCTTAAGATCTCAGTCTCATTGCTATAAAAATGCACTGGGCATTTTTGGAAGGCGGTGAGTGTATCTGTGGACAAGGCTCAATACTGTTTGGAAGTCGTTCTGGTTCTATAATTGTAACCCAGAACAGGGAAGATGCTTTTTGTATGGTACTATGCTGTTTTAGAGGCAAAATAATAATCTGAACAATGCTACTAAAATTGCAGACGTTTACTGTGCCTTTTTAAACTATATGGTTGTTTCAATTACAGAATGGATAGTGTGAGAGTACCAAAATCTTTCAGTAGGATAATTGGAGGACTTAATTATAAAAAGTTAACCATCTTATTGCCACATCATGGTGATGCTCATAAAAATATTTGGCACATGATTATAATTGTAAAAAAGGGTTATCTTTGTTGATACGTAATCTCACATTTCACAGAATGCATAAAATTAGCCTGTCCAGCTTCAGTTTTATTAATAATGCAGTTTTGATCCTAGAAATTAATATGTCCTAGAAATAATACTAAACATTGGAGTGTCCTGTATACACCTGTATTTTAATAGTGTGAAATGAGATTTCTAATAACCTCTTTCCCAGATCCAGACAGTTTTTGGTCATAATTCTTCATGAATGTCAGTTTTGAAGAGACATTTTGACTGTCCTGATTTGGGATTAATTTGTTTTTGAAGCTACTTCAGCCTCAACTGATCAATCAAGGTTTTGCTATTACATATTAAACATGAATTCACATAACATCCTATATTTCTGCCATATGAAAAGTGAGCATTCATTCTTTGCTGGGGTATGTCCAGTACCTTAAAATGAAGTCTCCGTGCAAACCTCAAACACAGTAGTACAATGCCAGTCCTGGGTTACGCTCTTTTCTGCTTAGTCCCTATACAGGTAGTCCTCGACTTACAGCCACAGTTGGGACTGGAACACATCTATTGTTCAGCAATGTAGTCATTGTGTGAGTCATCCTGATTTTGCAACCTTTTTTGCATTAAGTGAATCTGGCTTCCCCCATTGAGTTTGCTTAAAACCTTGAAAGGTTTCAAATAGCGATTATGGCTCCGGGACTTTGCAACTCCTATAAATGCATGCCAATTGCCAAGCAGCCAAATTTTGATCATGTGACCGCAGAGATGCTGCAATAATTGTAAGTGCAAGGACCGGTCATAAGTCACTTCTTCAGAGCTTTTGTAACTTCAGATGGTCATTACACAAATGGTTATAAGCTGAGGACTATTTGCATCTTGTAATTACTGTGCTTAATTGAAGCAACTAAACTTGCTCATTTTTTAAAGCTTTGAAAGCCTCTAATTTATATCTTGACCCAGTTTATTATGAAAATCAAGCAGTATGTTTTATTTGCCCTGATCTACCCAAATTGTAACCTGAAGCACAGGGCTAACAAAATTTTACAAAAGCAAAGCTGGCTCTCTTGATTTCCTTTGTGTATAAGCAAAGTCATTTTTTTTCCTTTTCAAATATCATGTAAAATAATATTTTGGAGGAGTTACTATTTATTTGTAAATATGCTTCTCACTTTGTGTTAATATTGTTTAATAAAATCTAATAATCATTGCGTTTCTTGGAAAGATTTTTATTTTCACGTGAATTCCCTCTGCAGGAGATTAATCTGGCATAATAGTGCCAGTGTGAATTTGGGTGATTGTGCTAATTCCCTTTTTAAGTAGGGAAATGGGTCATTCTTTTCCAGAGGTGGCAGTCTTTATCTCACTTAACCCACAGATAAAAATGGATGCTAAGCTAACAGACTGGTCAAAACGCCCCAGTCAGTGTTTTGAACAGTTTACATCAGAGATGAGTTGGTTTTCCTACTTACTCTTATCTTATGTAAAAAATCAAAGATTATCACATTTTGCATGGGTTTTACAACTTGTAGAAAGTATTGTTTATGCCAATGTAAGTTTACAGCATTCTTTTTGCATATATTTTATAATTCACATAGAATATCTAATCAAAGCAAGCTGCATAGCTGAGTGAGTGAATATTTAAAATATACATTGGCTCTGTTTTAACAAAGATCACTTTAGAAATGTCAATTTAACTCAAAAGTGGCTGCAAATCAGCAATTATAGTCACTGAAACAAATTTTTAATTTTTTTTAAGGAAAGCACTGCATTAATGCATGATATAAAAGGATTTTTTATAATTAAAATGCAGTTTTGAATGACTGAATTTATCAATTTCAACCACTGCATTTGTTGAGGCACAAGCTAGAAAATGGAACTGGTATCAATCAGTGCTCTAGATTATTTCAGCAATTGTCTGGCAATGGAATGAGGAATTCTGAGGAAATACCTCACAGATAAAGGTTCCTCTGAATTATAGCTAAAGTAGAAGATTGATTACGATTCATTCTTATTTTTGATGATGTACTAGTATTTTCACTTAGCCCAAACTAACCACAAAGATAGATAGCCAAGGTAATTATTTTCTGAATGATTTTCTTTTTAAAAAAGATTGTAATACTTTAAAATAATCACACTGAAAGCTGAGTATACGCACCACACTTATTCCATTTGAGGCCAGTGGCTCATAAAAAAGTATTCTTTTGCATTAAGAAAAATATTGCCCTAGAGAAAATACTGCTGTGAAATTCAATGCTTCTGCAATTTATTTCATTTTGTGAGACAAGTTCACATCCCAAGTTAAGCTTTGTTTTGGGTCTTGATTTCACAGCATTCTGGAGCATCTCCAGAGATGTTCCAGAACCCGTTTAACTTCAGCAATTATCTTGGCTGTGGTAGGGAGCTCTGCCTACCCCTCTCTCCCCCCAAAAGCACTGGGTCTTTCACCTGAGGGAGCCGACCTCAGCTTCTCTCATCTTGCTTTTCAGGACCAAGGCATCCTCCAAGTTAAAACCTTAGCCGCTGCTTTTTGGGGGGGGGGGGAATTCATAAATGACAGTTGGTACCAGTTCCATTTGTTGCTGTTCAGTTATTTTATATTTCATTTCTCATTTGATAATTGATATCTGGAATAATCAGTAGCTCTATTCTCATTTTTTTCTCATATTTTTATTCCAGGATTTGCCTCTGAAGCAGGGAGTGTCTGCATTAAAAATGACCTGTAGTTCTCTGCTTCATAGGTTAGAAACTTATTTTAATATTCATGGCTAAGCACAGTCCCAGGTTTTTGAACATTTCAGATGCTGAGCAATTGGCAATAATGTGGCCTAAAATGCACATTCCTGGGGGTTTCTATCATTTTTGATAAAATGGCTTAAATTCATAGTCCAGATGAGGCAATGAAAGCACCTTTGTTTGCTTGCAACCATTTTGTGACTTACAGATTTTCTGAAAAGTCTGATTGCTACTATGCATTAAAATGAGAAATATAATTTGGCTATCTTTTCTGAATACTTAACGTGTTGCTTAAGCCTTATATTACTTGAAGCACTTAAATTCCAAAACAAGCCAAATTCTAAAATATTAATTTGGGGAAAGAATCGGTTCACCAAATCACGCTACTTCAAAGGGACTGCTATAGCCAGCAGAGTTGGGATTAGGGACCCTGTATTGACTTGTGGATTATACACCACAGATGCTTCTTCAGCTCCCTCTTCCTCCGTGGGCGGTGCTTGCAGCTCCTTTACCACCACTTCCGGCCCCACCATTTACTCTACCTCAGTCACTGACAGCAAAGCTATGCAAGTGGAGGGCTGCTCCTCAGCCATGGGGGTAAGTAACTGTGGGGTAAGTGACAAGCAGTTAACCAATAACACAGTCCAGCAGCCACCACAGTCCACCCCGAAGAGACACACAGTTCTGTACATCTCACCACCACCAGAGGATTTGCTGGACAACAGCCAGATGTCTTGCCAGGATGAGGGGTGCGGATTGGAGTCTGAGCAGAGCTGCAGTATGTGGATGGAAGACTCCCCCTCTAACTTCAGTAACATGAGTACCAGTTCCTACAATGATAATACTGAGGTGCCACGTAAATCTCGTAAACGAAATCCAAAGCAGAGGCCAGGGATCAAACCACGAGATTGTGAAGAATCGACCATGGACATCTTTGATGCTGACAGTGCCAAAGCGCCTCATTATGTCCTTTCTCAACTCGGCACGGAGAGCAAAAGCAACTTGAAAGCAGGAAATGGGTTGGTATCTGCCTTTATGTTCTATCAACATATGTTAAAGCAGACAAAGTAAAAATATAACCTTGATTTTTCTCTAGAGTTCAGCTCATATTTTCACTGAGAAGGATGGGAGAGCTGATATTTTGAATCACATTTAATAGTTTCTTATGCTAAATGTTTTTGGCCAGTTTAGCATCATTGAACAGGAACAGTTGTCAGCTTTTCCTTGTGGAACATGATTAGTGTGTGGGAAGTTTTTCAGTAAGAAACAGTTTAAAACAGAGTCCTTAAAGTTGGAATCAGCTCCTGCATATTTTCTGCAACAGAGATAATTGTGGGGACTTAAGTCCGTACTTCACTTGCTTCTGTTTCACTCTCTGCCTCAATTAAAGACAGCTGATGTTGACCTTTCATATTCTTTCTAAAATGTTAAGATGAACCAAATTTGTGTTTGTGTCATCTCAGTTCTGTAATTGATCTTTCAGAAATAAATCTCTATCCTGTTTTGCTCTGTGCTTCTCAGTTGTGTGTATGTGTATGCGTAAATGTTGCCTGCAGCCTGCTTGGGTGGTGGTTTCTCATCTCTTCATTTAATTGGATCTCGATTTAGAAACTCTGGTTTGCATCCCACTTCATCAGTGGAAAGTTCACATGTGTATTATGGCAGGGAATTGTTGATTTTCTACCCAATGGTAGTCGTCGCCTTCCTTTGGAATCCAGAGGATCACAAGATCCTCAGTGTTGGCCATGGGCAAGATGAGGTGCATTTGCCTGAGAAATCAGTGACCCCTGTTGTAGCCTATTGCATTGCGTAGAAGTCTAAGTGACACTTGTAAAGAATTCTGTTTTTCCTGGGAACAGGCAGCACCCTGGGGCGCCATTTTGTTTGGTACTTCATGTCGGCCAATAAACATGGAAAGCTCTGTTTATAATTTATGTGTATTCAGGAATCTAGCTTGTTCAGTTCTTTGCAAGCCAGTGTTACATGCTTAGGTCAAATCATGGCTTCTTGCTCTGAATTTTAACAAGGTGGACAAGCATAGATTTGCATTTAAGAAGAGGGAAGCCATTGGCTGTATGGTCAGGGCTTGTTATCTGTGCCGGTGGCAAGAGGAGCAGTTGGGTCATGATGTTGTATATGGTTCCTCCTACATCAGAATTTTTACCACTCTGGCTTACTGCATGCGAATGTGGACACAAAGTCATGCAGAGAAATCTTTTGAGTTTCTTGCCTCCTTCTTTGAAGGACTTCTCTTGTTTCTTACAGAAAAGTCTATTTCATGTTGTCCTTGAGTTACAAAATATTGAATTATGGGGAAAAAGGATTTGCCGTGTAAAGGAAACGCCATCTTGCTTTGCCTTCCCTGTTGTCTGGTTCCATACTTGAAATACCACTTGGAAGAGATAGATCATAAGAGACTTTCCAGAGTGAGGTTTGCTACTAAACAGCTTTCCAGGATATGATTGTGGAGGCCTTATTATACAATGTGGCCCATAGTCTTATATGACCTGTTCTCCTCACACAAAATTTATAAAAGCCCTGCAAGGACAACATTAAAGTGAAAACTGCTGGTTCTGCAGATATCCACATTATCAAAAGTCTTTTTCAGAGTATATTAAAAGAGGCCATTAGAAGGGATGATTCTTCAAAAAAATAAGTTCATATTCTGAAAATTAACACTATAGTCCTCTGAATATCAACTTAGAAATCAGCCCATTGAATTGATGCTGTTCACTATTTTTGTAGAATAAATACAAGGAGTCAGTGTTGTGGATTTTTTTTTCAGAACTGAATGCACTTCAGCTGCTAAATAACTACTAAAATATAGTACTGGGTTAATTAAAACAAAATGCCTTCCTATCATAGAGATTCAGAGGCTGCGTTATACTATTTTAAGTTGTGCAACACTTCCGTATTTGAAAGGAGAAATGTGGTTGGGCATGCACTAATCTCTTTAAATGTGCCTTTCCCCAGGACTGCACTCTGGTGTGCACACTCCGAATCACGGGTGTCACTCGGGTTCAAAGTGTTGCACAGCCCTGGTGTTTTCCAAGAACCCCTTGCCTAGGGGAATTAGGAATCGGTGCTTTTTTCAAGGGTTATTTAATGAGTTTTGTGGTCAAGCAGCAGAATGAATCCTGGTATCCTGTAGTGCATATGAAATCTCTGATAAATGAAACCTAATTGGGGAGGGGGGCTGATTCGTTACTGATTGAAGAGATGGGGATGATAAGCTGTTCATAATCATGATCAATTTATCAATGTAATTATCTCAGAAGGCAAAAATGTGCAATACAATTCTGTAGAGCAGATTCTGGAGCCCTAATGCTGAGCTTCAGAGAATGCTCCTTTCATGCACATTTGGGGTTCTGTTGTGTGTCAGAGTTCCTACTTCAGAGGACAGGTCCCCGAACCCTGGCTGGGGCCATCAAGAGGTTGGCGTCTGCAGCAGAGGGGCTGTTTGCACAACAAGGCCTTCCGGAGGTCAGATTTTGAATTATGCAGAGTTCTCTAAAGAAGGATAGCGGGAATTTATTTGTTACCCACTTCTAAAGCAATAAAAGCCAATGGAAAAAGTGGTGCCTATATCCTGTAGGCTGCTCTTATATATTTGCATATATTTTCATAAAATGGGAAAGTTTGTTGTTTTCAAAATGCAATTATTGTCTAAACCACTTTTGAAATTAGAACCCTGTGCAACTGCTACTATGTAGCCTGTAGTAAACATTGAATATATTTGTTGAGCATTCTTATTGGACACAATATAAGTTTTATTCATAAGTGCCCAAACAAAATAAGGCAGAATTTTGAGTTTAAAAATATTGCATGCTATGCTTGAAACCTGGAAGTTGACTTGTAAAACATAATTTACTTCATAATACATATATTGTTCATGAAAGACTAGCTAGGAGGCTTAACAGCAACACATTGCACACATGTTTGTAACATATCTCACCCAGTACTGGTTGTCTTTGGAACAGAAATAGAAACATCAGTTTCTTGTATTTTAGATGCCTGATAGACCAAAGGTATCAGGCAGAAAAGAATAATAAAATGAGATGCTGGGATCCTACTCTAATTTAATGAAACTTTGCACAAAAAGCCAGCTTAGATTTTCAGGCCTGGTAGGATGCTTAGAGAAAAAAAGGCAGGGGACCAAATGGTATAAAATAAACCACTATCATCCACTTGGTCTAGAAGGGTCCTGCACAATCTATGGCCCACTTACAGGCTAGCAATTACTGTAACTGTGTTCCTGAACTTGAAGCTAGAAGTGTCGTGATAAAACATTTCTGCACTCAGGTGGCTGGTATACCTGGACCCGAAACCTAGTTGAGAGAAGCTTTTTCTTCATTTTTACTGTCCCAGAAATTCGGGAAATAACGGGTCAGACCTGTTTGTGACATCCAAAGTCAGGCTGAATAGTTATTTTCATGGGTTCCTCTAGGGCAGTGGTTCTCAACCTTTTTAATGCCGTGACTCCCAACGGTCATAAGTCGAGGACTACTCAACCGGTCGTAAGTCGAGGACTACTCAACTGGTGCAGCACTGTTTGCAGAATGGGACTTTTGGCGGGCTCAGCAGGGCAGAGACAGCCTGGACAATTCCTATTGGCTTTTGAAGCCAATAGAATTAGACTCTATTCAAGAGAGTCTATTCTATTGGCTTTCAAAAGCCAATAGAATAAAAGGGAATAGCACAGCTAAGGAAAAGGGGGGAAAAATGGCGGACTGTGTTGTTTGGTGACCCCCCTGAAATGGTCGTTCGACCCCAAATGGGGTCCCGACCCACAGGTGGAGAACCACTGCTCTAGGGTTTATTCAAACAGGTTTTATTTATGGAACTCCCCTTGTGGTGTAATCATTTTGCATTTATTTATTTCTTCCCATAGGGAGACAGGGCAGAGGCTCTAAAGCAAATAAACCACTCTGATCTGTTGCCATATTGCCTTTGCAGACTTGAACTCCTGCACAATCAGGAGCAAAGCAAGCCTGAAGCTTCATTCTAGATAATACAGAAATGCAGCATTTCACTTTGAATGCATGGGAACTAATTGCTATTTTGACTCATTTACTTCTGAAAAGTCTTATTTATGTTGCCAGTAGAAAAACAGACATGTGATCAGTCTTCAAATAGCTCTGGAGAGGTACATCAAATATAGTTTTTTTCAGCCTGGTGGCATGAACTCTTTCCATTAATATATTTGTTGTCAAGGAAAGAAAGAAATAATTGCAATCCAGCTTACTTAAATACCACAATGTCAGTTTCTCTCATTTTAAAATACATGGAAAATGCCATGTGAATGGGTCGACCTGATATATTAAAAAAATTCAGCAGCCTAAACGTCTACAGCCTAGATAGCTGTGTCACACAGTCAGTGCAGTGCTGAAATTAATTATATTTTAATCTAACAACATTGGTTTGAAAAATTATTTAAACATATACTTACCTGAAATATATAGCAATAGGGCCTAGGAAGCCTTTGGTCTAGAGATGGTAAGGATTTGTTTTAACCAGGTGACATTTGTGAACATATGCTAGGTAAAATGTTCTAGGAACTGGCATTTCACACAAGGTGGTGAATTCAGGCAGATTGTTTAAATTGCTTATGGTTAAAATATAACTATAAATTTTGTCCTCTACTTACTAGTTAAAATACAGGTTTTTAGGTTTCTGGCTATATTTTAATTAAATGACACAATTTTTGTGAAAGGGAAAAAGAGAAATGGTGCAGGTCTGCATGTATGTCTCTGTCTTCTGGTTTCCTGGCCACTTTGCTTGTTTGGAAGGAAAGCTTTTGGTAACCTGTGTACTAATCTGCTTTAACACCTCAGAACCTCTGAAGTCCCCAAGGCGACTGGAGGGAAGAAGTGCCCTATGTTATGTGGTCAGTACCTGAGTAAAAGTGAAGGCAAAGAGCTGAAGATCCTGGTACAGCCGGAGACTCAACACAGAGCTCGCTACCTCACTGAGGGCAGCCGAGGCTCAGTGAAAGACAGAACCCAGCAGGGATTCCCCACCATCAAGGTATGCCAGAAGGGGAGTGAGGGGCTAGAAGGCCTGGGGGGGGGGGGTGCTCTTCTTCCTGGCCTTACTGAGTTCCTGAGAGCAGGCTAGTCAGATTTCTCAGGATGAAAGATGTTACTAGAACTTAGGTAGACAGCCCTCCAATCCTCAGGTTTGTGGTTACGTTGTTGTTCCAGGCAAAGGAATGGATGTTTCTTGGTTTAAGACAGGGAAGCCTTTCTAGCTGGATGGAAGGTGTGTAAATATAGAGCAGGGGCTACTCTTGGCTCTTCCGGTTTAAATGACTGCACAGAGCACCCATCTGTGTGGCCTGTCCTGAATGAAAGAGGGTTACTGTTGCTGATTTTTCACTTCAGTCTCCTAGAGAAATTGCAAACATGGATGAAAAAAAATATGTGATGTCCCTTAATTGGTTCCACATATTCGTTGACTTTGCACAAACAATAGAGCAGAAAGTGCAGTGGCCCTCTGGAGCAACTGACTGAAAAATAGACACTTAAACAAGTTAGTTGTCTAGTAGTTTTTTCTCTGCAAAATGAAGATGTGTTTCATTTAATTACAAGCTAATATTTAGATCCCCTGGATATATGCACAGTTTCTAAAGAATAATGTTAAATACTTGTGGTTTCTGACTTCATCATAAGCACTTTTCTACAAGAGAGTATATAATATATAAAAAGTCGACCCTGTCCAAAACAGACTTTTGAAAGTGCTTCCTTTTCAGAAAGAACATTTATATATATATATGATCAAAATATGAATACAATAAAATCAACTTGAGGGCTTGATAGAATATAACTAAAAATATCAAGATGTTTACAATCCAAAGAATTCATCTGTTCTGCTCAGTAGTACCAGCCAGTGCTCGGTATTCAAAAAATGTTTGTGCTTGCATTGTTGGCAGATTAATAGTGCTTCACATGGTCCATTAAATCTTGATTTGTGTTTCCAGCTGGAAGGTCACAATGATCCTGTGACGTTACAGATATTTGTGGGTAATGACTCTGGCCGGGTGAAGCCCCATGGATTCTATCAGGCCTGCAGGGTCACAGGGCGGAACACCACACCCTGCAAAGAGGTGGACATCGAGGGCACCACGGTCATCGAAGTGGGCCTGGATCCGAGTAATAGCATGACCCTGGCGTGAGTCCTTTTTCATTGCCCTGCTGTTGCTTTTGTTTCCCTTGTTAGACTTCTATCCTGCCTCATCTCTGGGAACAGTTTCCGGGTGAAGAATGTCTTCATGAGAGCAAATCTGACATTGGGATTTTTATTTATTTACTAATAAGATTTATTAAGCCACCCAACACAAACAGTATGACTCTGGGTGGTGTTAAATCCATTTTTGGCTAAAACTAAATTTATTTGTAATACAGTGGAGTATGGAGGTTCTTTGGGAGGATTTCTCTGCCCTCTCAGGCTGCCATGTGAATCAGAAGGAAAGCATCTGGTCTCTCATAGTCAACCTGCAGTCGCTTCCTTGCTTCCTGGTTGTGATTAATAGCTTTCCACTTTATCAGCAAAAGTGAACAACTCTTTTGATTATTATTATTATTATACACACACACACACACACACACACACACACAGGCGCTCTGGGCAATCTATTTGTATTCTGATTGCTCTTGACAAAAATGCCTTCCCATGATCTCTTCTGAAATTACTTGAACTTCACAGAGCAGTCTGTCTGTCCCTGCTTTTCCATACAAGCCTTTCATTCAGGGCCTCTCTGAACCTAACAGAACGGGATAGGCAAACTTAGTGCTGGCTCTGAAAATAGCCACTCTTTTGAAGTCCTTCATCGAGCTTCACATTCCCATAGTGGTTGTCACCTAGAACAGTGATTCTTAACCTGGGCGATATTGCCCCCCAGGGGGCGATTTCATTTTTCAGGGGGGCAATGGAACGAAAAGGGGCGACATGGGGGCGAAGGAACGAAAAGGGGGCGATATGGGGGCAATGGAGCGAGAAGTTTTGGGGACACTTTTGAGACTTTCATACAGTGAATGGCTGTATATCTGTCGTACAAAAACATCAGATCGCTCGCTCTTAGTGGATTGAATTGTGTTTTCAAATGTTCCTCCAGCTAGCTTCAGTACAGAATGCCGTACATATGTGAATGTGCATCTTCATGTGCGTTGTGCAGCAGCCTCTACCCATACAATGGTGCGCTATTGGCCAGAATATGGGAGATATGGGAAAAAGACTGGAAATAAATAAATTATTTGCATCGATATGTCCTGATGACAATTTGAAAGAAAACAAAAAAAGCATTTGCATAAATTGAAGAATTATTTCCTATGTTGTGATTGAGAGGTTATGTTGGGGGAGGGGGGCGATTGACAACTTCCTCATTGGCTCAAGGGGGCGATTCGTTCAAAAAGGTTAAGAACCACTGACCTAGAACACCGCAAGTTCATGTTTGTAAATTGGTCCTGTTTGACATCTTATACTGAGTTTATTTATTTATTTATGAGACTTATATACCGCTTTAAGTGCAAGCACTCTCTAAGCGGTGTACACCAGTAAGCAATGTATATATATATATATACATTGCCCCCAACAATCTGGGTCCTCATTTTACCTACCCCGGAAGGATGGAAGGCTGAGTCAACCTTGAGCCGGTGAGATTTGAACCGCTGACCTGCTGAACACAGTCAGCTAAAGTGGCCTGCAGTACTGCACCCTAACTGCTGCGCCACCTCAGCTTTGTTTTCCCAGAGATGATGAAGGAGCTTTTAGCTGGGCCCTAAATTCTCCTTCATTTGGGAAATTTAAAACTTGCTTGAGGAAAGCCTGTTTTCCTATGCTGTAGTGTATTTATTTACAAATTGTTCATTCTCACAAGAGGGAGAAGCAAAGTAGTTTCAAAATGGTGATTGGTTGGTCCATTGATGAGCATTCATCCAGTTGACAAAATTCCACACAGTGAAAATAGATCTGTACCCTGAAGTGAATCAGTAATGCCATTTCTGTTTCCTTGTTTTGGAATATTGTCCCTGTCAGAATCCAATTATATTTCATCTTTAATTATCAAATATTGAATTGAATTATCAAATATTGAACCTTGAATGGGAGAGCTTGGACCCCAAGTCCTGTCTAGCACGCCTGCAACCACTTCTTCTTAATAAAGGATTCCTGTTGGAAGAATTATTCCAAGAGTTCTGTCTTCTTAAGATGTAAAGTGGGGTGGGTCCTTACATTAGACAGGACTTGCAAAATTAATCCACCTGGAAGGGAGACCCTTGCCGGGGGATTTTGCAAAAATTTACCATGTCAGACAATGGAGCAAAAGAGGGGGAAAACTCCCTGGAAAGAGAGCCGCTGACCAAATTGGAACCTCGTCAGATGTTGGGATCCGAGAGGTCAGATTCCTCAGGAAAAGAAGTGGTGGAGACACGGGACCACAAGCCTCGCTGGTCAATGGGCGTTGGAAAGAAAAGTGAGTGGGGAAAGGAATCAAGAAAGGTGACCCTGAGACGGGGGACCAAGCAACCAGAATGGAAGCAGGAGATGGAGAAATCCCTGCACGCAAGTGAAGAGGGAGGAAGCTGGGCACCGTACTCAGACTGGATCCTAGAGAAAGCTATTGACCTGATGAAGAGAACTCTCAGCTCCCTAGGAGAGGAGAATCCTGAGCCCTACGGCCGCCCCAGCTCCTGGAGCCGCAAAGGGAGAGACACCGAGGGGGACGTGGAACCTGCAACCCCGGGGACATCTACTGATCCAGTAGCCCCCACCCCCTACCGGACCACAGATGGCAATCTGGACGGAAGACACTACCACCAACAACGGAGGCATCGATCCATTCCAAGATGTCCACCGTTGGAGGTGAAATTCAAAGGGGAGCCAACACGTTTGGGGTTTTTCCTAACCCAAGTCCTCAGCTACATGGAGGAATACGGGCAGGACATTCCCAGCGACAAAGCCCGCATCCGGATCGTGCAATCTGCCCTGGATGGACCGGCTGCAGATTGGGTGGTGACTCCAATGCCCCAGAACTCAGTAACTTCAACCGGTTCATGTCCTCTTTGAGAAGACGATTTGAAGACCCCCTGGCTGATCGCAAAGCCCGTGAAAGGATAAAAACCATGAGGCAAGGCAAACGCCCGGTGGCCGAATATACACAAGAATTCCGGGCCATTGCCAGCAAACTGAATTGGCCAGAAGACATCCTCCTTAGCCATTTCAAAGACGGACTAAACTATGATCTATATGACGCTTGCCTGCCCCGAGGGGACCCACACCGACTTGAGGAATGGTACGTCTTGGCAGAGGAAGCAGAGATCGACATATTGAAGAGGCACCGCCGAGGAAAACAATGGAGCCGCCCCCCGCCTGAGCTGACACACGAACCGGTGAAATCATCGGCTACAGCCAAGAAGCAAATGGGGTGTTTCAAGTGCGGAAGAGAAGGGCATCGAGCTGTAGAATGCCACTCCAAAGCCCCCCAGCACAACCCAGACAGATCCCCAATCAACAAATCCGGAAAGTCTTCAGGTAAGCCAAAAGAAACGGCCATGAGAATGATGGAAATTGCAGAACCCCCCACTTCTGCTCACCAAGGGGAAAGAACTCCAGCCTACACCACAGGGCCGGTGGATGTCTCAGATGACAGCTCGGAGGGCGAACCCCTGGTGGATCTCTCTTATTTTTAAGAGGGGCCGGATGTCAGAATCCAATTATATTTCATCTTTAATTATCAAATATAGAAAACCCCAATTCTGCCTTCTCTGGATTCTGCCATAAGAGGGAGAGAAGGGGGAGAACAAAAGGGCTTTATGGCCCTCACTTCCTTCAGTATACTTCTAAGGAACTGAATGTGTTTATTGCAACCTCAAAGAGTTTGAATGTAGTTAGCACCAAAGAACCTTACCATAACAAAGGAGGTTATTTACCTTTCATGTAGTTTATCTGAAGTCTCCATCCAGACGGAAGAAAGAAAAAAAAGGGGTGGAATTGTGATGCCTGAAACTATCACTGGAAGGAGGGGGTGATTGGGTGGGACTACTGGGGAACCCCTTAAAACCTTGAATGGGAGAGCTTGGACCTCAAGTCCTGTCTAGCACGCCTGCAACCACTTCTTCTTAATAAAGGATTCCTGTTGGAAGAATTATGCCAAGAGTTCTATCTTCTTAAGATGCAAAGTTGAGGTGGGTCCTTACAGTCCCTTTCTATGTTTAAATCTCTCTGCATATATCTGTAGAGAGAGCGTTGCTTGAAAAGTGGGTAGGGAAGCTCTTGGATTCTGGATGGAAACAGAATTGGAAGGGACCTTGGAGGTCTTCTAGTCCAGTGGTTCTTAACCTTTTTGAACGAATCGCCCCCTTGAGCCAATGAGGAAGTTGTCATCGCCCGCCTCCCCTAACATAACTTCTCAATCACAACATAGGAAATAATTCTTCAATTTATGCAAACACTTTTTTTGTTTTCTTTAAAATTGTCATCAGGATATATCGATGCAAATAATTTATTTCCAGTCTTTTCCCCCTATCTCCAATATTCTGGCCAATGGCGCGCCACTGTATGGGTAGAGGCTGCTGCGCAATGCGCATGAAGATAAGCGATGCCTATTCACATATGTACAGCGTTCTGTACTGAAGCTAGCTGGAGGAACATTTGAAAACACAATTCAATCCATTAATAGCGATCATCTGATGTTTTGGTACGACAGATATACAGCGATTCACTGTATGAAAAAATCTCAAAGGTGTCCCCAAAACTTCTCGCTGCATCACCCCCATATTGCCCCCTTTTCATTCCTTCGCCCCCGCGTCGCCCCTTTTCGTTCCATCGCCCCCTTGAAAAATGAAATCGCCCCCTGGGGGGCAATATTGTCCAGGTTAAGAACCACTGTTCTAGTCCAACCCCCTGCACAGGCAGAAAACCCGATACCATTTCAGACAAATGGTTGTCTAGTCTCTTCTTCAAAACTTCTGGTATTGGAGCATTCGCAATGTCTGGAGGCAAGTTGTTCCACTGATTAATTGTTCTGACCGTCAGGAAACATGGTGGACTAACCTGTCTCTGCACTGTGGGGACCTCTCCAAGGCATAGACTGACAGCCGGGTACTGGGCTTGAGATAACAAACTTCTCCAGACAATCTGAATTGCATTGTCATTATCTCATTCTATATAATTGCATATTGTGTGGCAAGTTAAAACTCTTTGGACCTTTGTTTATAACAAAGAAATCAGATTGAACACATTATTTTAGAAGCCTGGGAGTTGGGTGGCATATAAATTTAATAAATTATTATTGTTGTTGTTGTTGTTATTGTTGTTATTGTACTCTTTTCCAGGTATTTAAAAACAAAAAAACATTGTTAGGTTATTCCAATACTTTTACAAAAACTAGCCTCTTTTGAATGAACTCTTTCCATCATTTAGCTGTCCTTTATGTCCATTGCATGCAGTGATATATTTTCATCTCCTAAGTGTCTGTTCTATTTTCATGTTTTATTGATGGAAAAATGAATTATCCAGCAATATCTAGTGATGGTCTATATTACATAGTACCATATTTTCTAAAGTCAAGTTGAATGCTTGATCCTCTGGACATCCCAGTTTTTTTTACCACCACAGCTCCAGGATATTGAAATTAGATGATTTGGTGGTTGCTTCTGTTGTCACTGCAGACCTGCTGCATCTCTTGAAAAGCTTGCCACTTCCCATGTATTGGCAGGACTAAAATAATGCAAAAATTAATCCTATGTTGTTAGGGTGGACTGTGTTGGAATTCTGAAGTTGAGGAATGCAGATGTCGAAGCCCGAATAGGCATTGCTGGTTCTAAGAAAAAAAGCACCCGAGCCAGACTGGTTTTCCGTGTCAACATCCCGCGGAAAGATGGTTCTATTCTAACGCTACAGACTCCGTCCTCGCCCGTTCTGTGCAGTAAGTGACAGAGTCAAATTGTGAGGCAGGGCCCCTAATGACCAAAGCCCCCTTACTTGTTGAGCTGTCCTGCTTCTCTACAGAGAATTAAACTTTACAAAAACAAAATCATAAGTTATTTTTAGTATTTACTGAAACAGAACTTGAGAGAATCTGCATAAAATGATCTATTTTAGTGACATGGAGAATAAAACATGGACAAATAGATTTTGAATATTACATTAGGACCTTACCTCATAAGTGTGTTCCTAAAATGGCAACAGCTGGCCATGAGTTCCCAGGGGAACTGTGCTGTACTTTCCCCTGTAAAAGGAAAAGGAGTCTTACTTTTTGAATCTGATGTTTGCTTAAGCTTTTCATAGCATTTGTCCTTTCCACATATAGGCTGTTAGAGGCCTTGGGTTTATAGCTGATTGTGTATGGATGTTTTCAGTTAAATCTCCTTTTCTTTTTGGCATAGCTCAACCTGCAGGCGTGCCAGAAATCCTCAAGAAAAGCCTGCATAGCTGTTCAGTGAAAGGAGAAGAAGAAGTATTTTTGATCGGCAAGAATTTTCTGAAGGGAACCAAAGTGATCTTCCAAGAGAATATCTCTGGTGGGTATCAAGGTGTATGTGCCTAGATTGGGCAAATGAAGTTCCAGGGGGATGGGAATGGCCAGCGTGAGAGCTATTGGTCTTGTGACTTCCTCGACAGCTTACTGGTATCTTTGTATAATTTTCCTGCCTTGCTTTCAAACAGATGAAAGTTCCTGGAAAGCCGAGGCAGAAATTGACATGGAGCTGTTTCATCAGGTATTTGCTTCCTTAGGGATGTACTTATCCATTTGATCTTGAGAACATTAATTTAGGCATTACTATTAAAACAATCCCATTTTATGTTATGTTTTAAAAGTGAGGTTCAGATAGGCATGCACATGCATTTTATTCCTGTACTTAATGGGAAGGATAAATTTTCTGAAAGCTTTATGGCTGAATGCAAATCTGTAATGTAAACAAATCTTACAGTAAATCTGCATTCAGAACAAAGATCTAAGATCCAAATGTAAAATTATTTTGTAGCCCTTGTTTTCTGCTAGAGGAAGGCCAGCAATAGCACTTGTACCATTCCATAGTGCTTTACAGGTCTCTCTAAGCAGTTTGTATATTGCCCCCACAATCTGGGTCCTCATTTACTGACCTTGGAAGGCTGAGTCAGCCTTGTGCCAATCAGAATCAAACTCCTGGCAGTGAGCAGAGTCAGCCTGCAGTACTGCATTCTTGCCACTGTGACTCCTGAAGGCTGCTCTAGGGAGCAACATAGCTGTAAAGCCATAGGTTTGAACATTGAGTCATACATACCTCAGTGAAATCATCTTCACTTCTGAGGTGGAGGAGAGGGATTGGCTTCTGATGTCCTCACAGAAACGGCTGTTAACTAACTAGTTGTTCTCGGAGTCCAAAGAACAGGGCAGATCTTTGATAGGGAGCCAGCATTCCTCCTCCTCATTGGTTGTTAGGATTGGATTCTTTGGTGGAACTTTTGCTTAGCTTGGAAAGTCAGATTTCTTCATGTTCAGAGTTTGTGTGATTGAGTGGCAATGTACTTACTTGCCTTTGAGAGCTCAGTAGAGATAACCGTAGTTTCATCTCTCCATTTAACTGACTTTGTTCTGAGTCCTCCATCTTTCCCCCTGCTCCCCCCTTGGATAAACTCCAGCAAAGGAAGTCACCAGCAAGTTTTTGTTTGTATGCTAGATTTATGCAATGAAGGAGTGGTAGGAACAGCTACAGCCAATGTATCTGGGCCCTTATTGATAAAAATCTAGATTTTCTTATGTCAAATGTCACAGACTGGAGGCCACTTTTTTTTCTTTTCAGAATCATCTAATTGTGAAGGTGCCACCTTATCATGACCAGCAAATAACTACATCTGTTTCTGTTGGGATTTTTGTCGTGACCAATGCTGGGAGATCACATGACATACAACAATTTACATACACTCCAAATACATGTATGTAAAAAAGCACAATATTTGACCAAGGTGTCTTGGTCTAAGTTTGCCCCGCTTGGCCAGGGAGCCGCTTAGGGAACATGAATCATTGGCCTGAGGACATCTTGGCCAGTGCTTGCAGTTTGGGAAAGAGGGTGTGCGCAACTACCACGGATTTCAAGGAGCTGTGCTGAATGTTTCAGTCATTGGCCTTTGGTTCTTGAAATGTGTAACTTGGGCTTATTGGTGATCTGAAAAATCGGGAAGCTTGGCGTATAATTTCCCTGCTTACATCTCTCCTGAACATTTTGTTTCTTCAGCAGCAGCTCATACTCTGAATGTGAACGTGAAGCAGGAAATATCCAGCCCAACCCAGCCCTGCTCTTTTGATGATGCAGCCAAAGGTAATTCTGGACGGCAGCCTTCCTTATCACCTCAGCCAAAAACTTCATAAAACTGCTGAGGACATCACATTGAAAAAATGGCCGTCATAGTTGGCTTATTTGGGAACTTTCAGACTACAGATGTTTACTGTTAATATGTGTTGTTTCTCATTCAGTCTGCTTCCTGGCTGACTTCCAAAAATTCACTAAAGTCTAAATACTTAACTCTGAGAATGATTTTTTGTGTGGGGATATACATGTAATAAATGTAATAAACAAGCAAGCTTCAGTAGGCCAGAGATTACTGATCAAGCAGGCTAAGGTGTTTGTGCTGGTAAGCTCAACCATAATAGATGTATCAGCCCTCAAGGTGCCATGGGTTTTTTTTGTGTGTAGCAGCCACTTGGGTTTCAGGAGTGTCTTTTACTGCAAAGACAGACTGCATAGCCAGGACTTGCCAGGAAAGGTTATCTGTCTTCCCTTCTAACAGGCTCTTCTCTCTAGTAGATGCTGTATTTTTGAGTTTCATCCTCCTGGGGTTGTCTTACGGAGTGAATTCTGCTCTTTGTCTTCTGCAGCGAATTCCAATGGCTGCCAGCTGGACCAAATAAATCTTCTCCCCAGTGCCTTGGTAACTCCTCTCAGGCCAAACAGTATCGTTAAGAATGAAGAGGCTGCTCCAATGGAACTTGTGGCCGAGAAAATGTCTCTTCCTGCTTTTAATGTAAGCAGCAGTTAAAAAATGGTTCTGGACATATGTCTTTTATAAGAAAAGAAGAAAATTATGAAAATTTTATTTAGAACATTTGTTTGACATCTGTTGTGATAAGTTTGGTAGGAATATTTATTTCACTTTTTACAATAGACAGGAGAAGTTTAACTGGAACATACCTTTTCCAAAACAATATAACCTCTGCTGTGGTGTTCATAACCATGCAAATTAAGGGTGTAAGGAATGGATTTCTAAAAATTGGAAAAAAATTAAATGAAAAGTATATAATGAAGGAATGAATACTCTGTAGAATTCAGGATAGTTTATTTTTCTCCCTGAATTATGGTTAGGCAGAGAAAAGTAAAAATTCTAAATCTTACTGCCGGTGTGTGCATATTTCTCTTCAGACAACCAGCACCATTGGGCAATCTCAAACAACTTTGGAGACCACCATATCCAGCATGTTGGGGAATGGCACTTTCACCTCTTCTGCTTCTCATCTGGCTCCAGAGAGTGAAAAGCAGCCCCTGCAACCAAAGTATCCTCCTGAGGCTATGCCGACCCTTCAGGCTCCAGACGTCGTGCAGTCTGGCAGCTTTCCAGCCGCCTCTGCTCCGAGCCAGCTGCAGAACAGTGATACCCTCCTGCAGCAGGCCTCCCAGTTCCCCTTGAGGGAGCCTTCCTCCAGAGAGGCTTTGCAGTCAGACAGCACAGCCATGGCTTTGTCCCAGCTGACGGAGACCCCCCAACAGCCTCCTCCCCTTCAGGAGTCCAGCCAGGCACTGCAGCAGCAGATCTCCTCAAGCATGTTCTCGGCCGGTGGGGTTAGCCAGCTTCAGAGTACAATCCAGCAGCTGCAGACAGGGAGTTTTCAGTCCAGCCCTGGTGGCAGCGGCAACAGCAGAAATGTTGACCTGGTTCAGCAAGTCCTGGAAGCTCAGCAGCAGCTGTCGTCTGTCCTCTTTTCAGGCTCTGAGGGTGAGGACGTTCAAGAGCAGCTCAATGTAGAAATTTTCCAGCAGGTTAGCCAAATCCAGAATGGTGTCAACCAGGGCATGTTTTCTTCATCGGACACCGTTCACTCGAGGGCAGAAGACCTTCTCCCCAGCCGAAACGAGACCATGCCGGAGACTTCGTTGGCTGGCCAGCAGCAGCCGCAGCAGCAACCGCAAGTGATGGAGACGTCTGCTGCGATGGTGATCGACATGCAGCAAGGCCTTTGCCAGGCCCCCAACTGCATGCCGTCCGACTTGTTCTCCTCCGCCTCCTCCTCCACCTCCTCCTCTTCCTCCTCCTCCTCGGGAAATGGAAGCATCCAGCAGTCCCCAGTGTACCCGCCAACTTCCCATTTGATAGGTGGGCTGTCAGTGAGTGAAGACATGCAAATGCAGTGTGAGCTGTTCTCTCCCACCAGTGTCTCAAGCAACAATGCAGGCACTCCAGGGCAGCCGCAGCAGGAGCAAGTGCCCACCAGCGGCTCTGCCATGTTCCCGGCTTCAAGCTCTGTGGAAGGCAAAGAAGCTTCAGGACAAGCCAAACAGATGCAGAGCAGCGTCTTTCAGGCAATGGTCCAAATACAACACAGTGGGGAGAGCCAGGCTCAGGTTGCCCTCTTTCCTTCCTCGGAGGACATGATGGCTGCCGTTCAAGGTGCCGGAGCCCAGCAGCAGGGTGGGGGGCTCTTCCAGCAGAGTGGAGAGATGCTCTCTCTCCAGGCGGGCACTTTCTTGCCCCCAGCTGCCCACTCCCAGCCTCAGCTATTCGGGGACACCCAGAGCATCTCTCAGGAGACACCCAATTCTCTTTTCCATAGCCAGAATGCAGCCTCTTCTTCTGAGCAACTGCAGCAGCAGCCAATGTTTCATTCCCAGGGAAGCCTAGGAGTGGTTCCGGACCAGCAGGCAGGCAGCCTGTTTCTTTCCCAAAATACAATGGGCTCCTCCGTTGCGCAGGAGGAGCAGATGCCGTTCTTCGCCACACAAAGCTCTCTTTCTCCCTTGCAAGGCCCAGCCAGGACTGAGCAGCAACCCTCCTTCCAACAGCCCCACCTCCAGGGCCCTCTGCTTGCCCAGGAGCAGCCCCAGTCGACACATCAGGCCCTTTTCCAGGCCCAAGTAACTCTAGGCCCCCTCCCTCCCTCTGGGGTGCCTCCCAACCAGCATGGGGGCATTTTCCAAGCTCAGCATTCGCTTGTGGCTCTTCAGAATAGTGCCTCTACCCAAGAGCAGCAGCAGCAGCAGCAAAATATCCGGTTCAGCAGCCAGAACACCATGGGCTCTGTGACCTCTCAGAAGCCAACACTGCTGTTCAGCTCCAGTCCCAGCACGATGACCAGTCAGGAACAACAGCAGAGCCAGCCTCTCTTCCACCCCCAGAGTAGCCTGGCCTCGAGGAGCCAAGAGCAGCAGCCCATGCAGTTCCAGAGCCGGAGTTCAGGCTCCACCCAAGCTGAGACACCACAGCCGCCACCAAGCTTATTCCATGGCTCGGAGCCGGTCACCCTCTTCCTATCATCAGCTTCCATGTCTGCCTTGCAGGGCAACATGAGCCAGCAGGAGTTGCAACAACCCCCTCTCTACTCCCCACAGAGCAACCTGCCAAATATACAGGATACTTCATCGCCCCCCCAGCAGCAGCAGCAGCAGCAGCAGCAGCAGCAGCAGCAGCAGGCAGCCACTTTGTTTCACAGTGCCTCTGCTGGAAGTTCTATCAACCAGCTGCAGAACTCCTCCACCTCATCCCCACAGACCTCTGGGATATTCCTCTTTGGCATCCAAGACGGTAAGTCTGAGTGTAAAGATTGATGTTCAGAGCGCTAGATTTTCCTTGCTTGTCTGCCTCTAATTTTGGTATTCCATTTTACGTACCTGAGCTATGAAAACACAAATACAGAATTAACTCAAATCAGGGTGCTGTGAGGCCTTATGGGCATTGTCGCTACTTGGGTTGAAATTGGCATTCAGATTCATGATCCTGCTTAGTTCTCCCTGCTCAGCAAGTTTACACTTGGCTCTGAGCAATATTTGCAAGACCATATTGGTCATCAGCCTTGATCTGGATGTGTTGTTGGAACCTTGTTTCTTCAGCAGGTTGTGGTCAGCTCTTAACATCTGGACCAAGTTCCATGTCAGAGCAGATGATGACCCTCAGGCAAGCACAGAATGAGGCACAGCCATCCGTCACGGCTCTCCTGTCCCAGCAAATGTCAGAGAGTCCTCAGATTTCTTCTGCAATGACCACCAATCAGAATATGAAGAAGATTGATGACTTGCTTGTATCCTTACAAAATCAGGGGAACAATGCCATGGCTGGATCCTTCTAGCAAGTGAGGTAAGTTAGGACCTTTTTCTTGAGCTGCAGAAGTTTTTCATTTAATTAATGAAATTGGAGAGCATGAAGCATTCTCTGTACTGTTATTTGCCTGGAAAGGAGACGGGATTAGTGCTCACCTTGTGAGCCGATTGATCACAGGCCTAATTCTTGAATCAGTCACTTGTTTTTTGGAGAGAAAGGCAGCTTTATATCCAAAGGTGCTGGTTACCACTGAATGATTTTGCTAAGAAAAGAGCATGGATGGAGTGTGTTGACCATAATACATCATCTTAGTCATTATTGCTAGACCAATGGTTCTCAACCTTTTTAATGCCGCGACCCCCAACCGGTCGTAAGTCGAGGACTACCCAACCAGTCGTAAGTTGAGGATTTTCCCTGCCCCGGAGCGCCGGCCGAGGCGTAGCTGGCAAGCGGCAGAGATGGCGCAGGCCAACAACCAGCTGGGCCACCAGCTGGCCCAGCCCAAGGGAGGTAAGGCACCCGCCGGGCCCCACGTGCGCCAGCAACCCTCCCTGTGCCCACCGGCCTCCCACCCCTGGCCCTCTTTTACTTACATTTTTAGTAGTTGCTCAGCAGGGAGGGGTGGAAACTTCCAGACAGCTTGCCTTCGCTGCAGACAACTTGCAGCACCGTTTGCAGAATGGGACTTTTGGCGGGCTCAGCAGGGCAGAGACAGCCTGAACAATTCCTATTGGCTTTTGAAAGCCAATAGAATTAGACTCTATTCAAGAGCCAATAGAATAAAAGGGAGTAGCACAGCTAAGGAAAAGGGGGGGAAAAATGGCGGACTGCGTTGTTTGGCAACCCCCGTGAAATGGTCGTTCGACCCCAAATGGGGTCCCGACCCACAGGTGGAGAACCACTGGGCTAGACACTTGTCCTTTATTTAGCATTATTTATTAGCTACATCAGCTCTGGCTAATTAAGTCTGGGCGTTCCTTGAATAATAGAAAAAAAAACAGAACCCCCAAATGCAGCCAGAAATACACCTAGCTATAATGGTCGCCCTCAATCAGAATGAGGCGCTTGCAAGCCCCATACAATGAACTCAAGAAACAAAAGCTGCAGATTTCAGAAAAGCATCTTTAATACTCTTTAGGGTAAAACATATTATTTAAAACTGTTTAAGGAAGGCCCTGGACAAACTTCTAGCAACCTTCTTCCTTGAGGTGCTTCCTAGTGGGCGCCAGGAAGAGAGAATCTGTTGGGGTTGCCATTGCCTGTTCCATCTTTGAATTGGGCCCCAATCCAAAGTGAAGGGGACCCAGATAAACTGCATCCTCTTCTGTCATTGATTCCATTTTCCCCCTCCCCCTTCTCTACCGCCGTTCCCCCCAAAATGAAGATTGGAAACCATGCCAAAATACTTCTTCAGGAAGAGTGCACTGCTGCCTCTTTCAAAGCCACAGCATGAGCTCCTTCAGAGAAGCAGTGATTGCTGCTTGAATGTAGGCTACCGGAAGAACCGTCTCATCCCACTGGGATTGGCCCACCCCACCTGTGCCGGCAGAGGAGGCATGCTTTGGGCCCATCGGCCAGGGTATTCTGGCTATTGGGGTCCAGGAGAAGAGCCTTCTCTGCCGTTGTGCCTGCCCTTTGGAACATCTGGCCCCCTGGAGTGACAACCCTCCTGACCTAAAGACCTGGCTCTGCCAGCTGGCTTGGCGTTCCAAAGGGGGGGCTTCAATCTTAGGGGTAGTGGATAGATTAACAACAGCTCCCATCCCCTTCTCGTCCTATCTCCCTTCCTCCTCATCACATAGCTAGGTTGATTATCTGGATTTTGCTATAGTATTGTATTTATATGGTTTTGTATAGTTTTATCTTTTAATATTGTAAGCCACTCAGATTTGCCTTGTGGTAAGATGGGTGGCTAATAAATTTTACAAACAAATAAATCTAGCCTGCTTAGCAGCCTGAAGAGCCGGGAGGATCATGACTCTAATCTGTTTTCCTTCTCATAAGCTTCAGCTTCTGTGGCTGCCATCATAGGGGATTTAACATGAACCCCTAAGATTGCTGGGTTGTACCCACTTTTAAACTGATGGCAGCCTTTCGCTGAGTATCTTTTCATGGAGAAAACCCAGTTGTTGAAGGCTGCTGAATGCAAGTGAGGAAGGGTTAGTCTTTGTGTTATTTATAAATGTCTTTTTGTTTTCTTTCTTTCATTCAGAAATCCTGCACTGGACAGACTGACTTGCAAGACTCCTTTAGCTCTAGGGATTCTGGAGTTTAGCAAAGTAGCGTTAACTCTTCTCTGTTGAAAGAGGGCCTAAAGCAACATCTTCATCCTTGCTTTGGAAGAACATCACTCTGGAAGTGCTGCTGAAGTGTGTGTGTGTGTGTGTTGGGGGGGGGGAGCCAGGTTTTGTATTATTCAGGCATGGGCTGGACTGTTATCTCCATCCCAAGTTCTGTGAGGGATGCAGAGCATGGCTATCATGTGTCAGCACAGGGCAAGGACATTGGGCTCCATCTCCCTCTCCCGTCTTTTTCTGGTTTTCACGATTCCTTGGGTGCATTTCCTGTGTCCTCAGTCATTTGATGGCTTCCCATGATTTGTGGCTAAGTATGGGAATGGTTTCCATTGAAAAATGTGGCTTGAGTAGTATAGCACAAGTCTTCTGTGTATGCTGTGAATCCCACCCAGGGTCATGGCTTGATGCTGCACATGTCAGGTAGTGGATTGGGCTCTGCAGCAGCAGCTGCTCCGATCAGAGTAATGAAGGAGCCTCTGGGGTGGGGGAGGGGCTCCTGCGGTGGTTTGAGGGGCCCCAAAGGGGCCTTGCAGGGGAGGCAGCCTCCGATTGGGGCTTGCTGAGAGTTGGGCGCAGATGGCTGTTCTCCCTTCTCAGAAGAAACCAGTTGCTGGTCTAAGGAACGGGCTCTTTTTGGAACCTGCTTTGATCAAAACGATGTCTGACTCTTCTTAAAGCTTCTCACCCTAGGGTTTCCCACCCTATTTAAATATTCTGCTTTTGACACTTTTGCCATTGCTGGGAGATGGAGGCTCCATGGTGGGAACCTGGGACCTTCTCTAAGCTCCACTTTGAACTCCAAGGCGGAGGAGCAGCCTTGGTCCTGCCAAAGGCCTTTGGTAAAAAGCTAGTGCGGTCCAGACTATGTCATTCTAGCAGGCTCTCCTGGGGCTCACCTCCTGCACAGGTCTCTTGCACATCCACCGCTGCGTGGGGTCTCTGCCACTCCAGAAGGTTCCTGTGCAGCTCTTGCTGACCTCGGGGGCTGTTCCAGGGACGTCCTGGCTGTTTGTCTTCTGTGTTGAGAAGAATGTCGCTTGTCTCCCTCGTGCGCCCCTGTGTGGGGCTTCTTCCTCATGCTGTGCCAGTCTGTCTCTTCTGTTAGTGGTCCGTGTGTTTTGTCCCAAGAGGTTTGGGTTACATTTTCAGTAGTACAGACTCTTTTGCCGATATGAAGGGAACTTTTCAGAAAGAGATCTACTCGGGGTCATTTAATTTTGAATACAGTTTTCAGTCGTTCAAGTTTTGGATGGTTTATATCTAATGTGTGTTTCATTTTTTGGAAAGCTCTATTTTGTATTTAGTAAATGATAAACTATTTTGCTATTTGTACTAGATGAGTACATTGGCATATATAAAAACATTATATATGTTCACACGCATATATTCTTCTTGCCACAGATTTTTGTGGCAAACGTGTGAGTTTATAGTCTCTTCTCCCACCACATGGCATCTGGTAATGGGAGAAAGAGGACGGGATTTGTTAAATCTTCATGGAGTATTTCTGTAATTTTTGTTACAGGTGTTCCTTTGTCTGGCCATTCTGTCAGTGCTGGCTGGCCGTGAAGGCAGCTTCATGCCTGAAGGACGGATCTCCTGCTGCGGGGGGATTTGGCGGGGAAGCCCTTTAGGGTGACTTCTTAAGAGCTGGGATTTGATTCTGCTTTTATTCTCTGTTAATGTCTAATGTTTTTGCAGGCTTTTTAATTTATAACACTAATACCCTCTGCTTTCCCTCTTTTGTAAATCCTATAGATACCTTGAACCTAATTCTGATGCTGAGAAAGAGAGGTACACACATGCTGAGGGAATTATGGGGAGGCAGTGAGGAGAGTGCAGAAAGGCCCCAAGTCAGTTTGCTTTTTTTGGGGGGGGGGGATGTGTCACAGTCTGAGGTCAGCTCCTTGTCAAGAGGTTCCCCTGTCCTCTCTGAAGGGTGCCGGGGGAATGAGCAGGGGCAGTCTGGTGAGCTGCTTGGGGCCAATGCCAAGACACCTGGGACCAATCCTTCATTGAACCAAGATTTTGCCCAGATCCCCAGGTTCTCCTGGCCACATCCCGTAACATCAGCATCTGCTGCTTGTGCAAAATGGTGAAATTGATACTTTGTTGGCTGGTTTTTACTTTTCCTTGGTCCAGTTTAGGTCAATATTTAAATGTGCAACATTTTGAATATGTGATTTGGTTACCAAATGTATCTTTTTGGAGCAAAGGGGCTGCTCAGTAGCTGGCAGAGGCTGGTCCTGCATCTTTGCTCCTGCTTTCTATGGGCAAAGGGAACGGAGGAAGCAGAGCCTGCAAAGGCCACAAGAGACTCAGTTTCCCTTGGCAAGCTCTGCATTTAGCTGCTTCAGCAACCCAGCCTGGTTGCTGGAACTTGCTGTGTTTCTGCACAAAGGCTTCATTCCCCACCTCACTGTTTTCAGGGCAAGAAATGTAAGGGACACTGAAGAATGAGAAAGTCCACCAGGAAGAAGGATCAGTCTTTTGTTGTGGGGGGAGATAGTCCCTGTCTTTTACGTCAAACTCCCTCGCTGAAGGAGGGATTATGGAACTCATTTGTACAATTAAGTAGGTCTTTGTGGTTACAAGACCCAGAAAGAAGATTAAAGTTCAAAAGAAAGTGTGGTCTTTTAAAATACAGTACATTGCCCTTTTAAAGTTTATAGTAAGAATTTTGCCATACAGGTAGTCCTTGACTTACATCCTTTCATTTAATGACCAAAGTTACAAGAGCGCTGAAAAAATTGATCTACAACAGATCCTCACACAGTTGTCACAGTATTCCCATGGTCACATGATCAAAATTCCAGTGCTTGCAACTGGCAGGTAGGTCTGACAGTGAGTGTCCCGGGGTCAAGTGATCCCCTTTGAGATCTTCCCAGCCATCATCCGACAAGCAAAGTCAGTGGGGAAAGCCAGATTCAGGTAACAAGTTTGTGATTCATTCTTTAGTGATTGGCTTAACGACCATAGCAGAAAAGGTTGTAAAATTGAGCATGATTCACTTAACAATTGTCATTCTTAGCAATGGAAAGTTGAGGACTACTTGTAGAATAAAAGGCAAATTGAAAGAAAAAAGAAAATGCAGGAAATGAAAAAAATTTAAAGACTTCCAATTTTCTTTTCAACAGATACTTTATTTAATAATCCCTCCCTAGATATATAATAAAATGTATAAACCCTCAAACTCTTATTTAGTCCAAGCCTGGCTTAATCTTAAAACCCATAAACCATAATTTCATTTCTTTTTTCAGCAAAAGTCCATAAGGTTTCCAATCGTTCAAAAAGGTTTTTTTTAATGACTAAATAGTGTGTAGGACAAGTTTTGCCATTTCTGCAAATTCTGACATTTGCACAATCCATTCTTCCACTGTGGGGATTTCATTAATCTTCCATTGCATAATTGTGCATATGATAATCTTGCTGCAATTACCACATATAAGATCAGTCTGCCGTGAGTTTTTCCTAATTCATTTTCCATAAGACTGAATAAAGAAAGTTCTAGTTGCTTTGAAATATTAATCTTTAAAGATTCTTTGCATCATTGTGTGAATTTGTATCCAAAGTGTATTGGCTTTTTCACAAGTCCATCGTGCATGATAAAATATCTCCTCATGTTTATAAATTTCTAACACTACTTTGAAATACCTTTATATTTTTGATAACTTTTCTGGTGTCATATACCAATAATACATCATTTTATAAAAAAAATTCTCTTACATTTATAACATAATGTAAATTTAACACCAATTACCCAGATTTTATCCCAATATCAATCTCTATATTATATCCAAAATTAATAGACCATTTTGTCATGCTATCTTCAAACTTGTTCATCTTTCATTTCAAATCTTAACAAAAGTTTATACATTTTTCCTATTATATATTCATTTCTGTACAATTCAGTTTCAAATTCCAATTTATATTTTTCAGTTCCATTTGTCTTTTTATCCACATTAAACCTTTTTTTAACTCTATGTATATAAACCATTGAAAGCTATATCCCTGTGAGTTCAGTTGCTCTGTTCATCTTAATTTCTCCATCCTCCTGTATGAATAGGTCTCATGTTAGCTATTTCTTCATATTGGCTGCTTGTGTTCTGTAGAATGCTTCTTTGCTAAGGTCAATAAAGGTATCTTCAGGCCCAACCAGTGTTCGTATTTATTCCATATTCTCAATACATTATTTTTCACATAATTAAAATCCACATTGTTACGCTACAGTAAGAACCTACAGCAAACAAACCTCAGATCATGACCCTCCGTTTCAAGCATTCTTTTTTTTCCTCAGCAAGACCCATCCTTTCATCCAAATTAAATAATAGACTATAAAGTACAATTTAAAATCGAGCAATCCTAATGCTTCCTATCTTTTGCAACCTACAGAATTTTGTATTTAACCCTTGATTTCTTGCTATGCCATACAAATCTAGATAAAATTATTTGCCACTATTTAAAACAGTGGTTCTCAACCTGTGGGTCAGGACCCCATTTGGGGTCAAATGATCATTTCACGGGGTCGCCAAACAAGGCTGTCCGGAATTTTTTCCCCCTTTTCTTTGGCCACGCCCCTGGCACCCGGTGATGTATAAGTGGTTGGGGGTCACCACAACATGGGGAACTGTATTATGGGGTCGTGGCATTAGAAAGGTTGAGAACCACTGATTTAAAAGAAGCATTTTTCTAAATCAGGATTGTTTGAAATAAAAACATTATTCTAGTTAATGTATTTATTGTTCTCACAGAAATTCTTCCAAGCCGTGAAAGTTGCAACTTCTCCTTTCTTAGTAAATCTTCCTTAATTTCATTCCATACCTTAACATAATTACCTTGAAATAACATGCAATTCATATTAGACATAGTAATATCTCACTAGAAAACTGTCTTAAACTCTGGTGTTTAAGACTTCAGGCTAGAAACCTGGAGATTTTGAATTCTAGTTCCACCATAGTCACAAAGCTAGCCAGATGACTTTGGGCTGGTCACTCTCCTTCCATCCTGACAAGAAGGCAGAGACAAACCATGAATGAAATCTTGCTAAGAAAACTGCAGGGACTTGTCCAAGCAGGTGCCAGGAGTCAAGACTGACTCAAACACACACACACAGAGATAAACTTTATTTCTTTCTCAGTTTGAAAACCAATAGTCACTCATGAGGTGGGAGTGGCCTCCAATCATTGCAAGCAGCTCCTGATTTAGTCATAGTAAGCAGGCGGTTTCCCAAAGCACTAAATTCTTTTCAGCTACACTTCTGCATGTCCTGAAGCAATAAGCAGGCTGATCCTCCCTTCCTCTCTACCATAAATACAGCAACTGGCTTGGGCTGTTCCAGCTGTTCAGAATCAGTTCTGTCAGGCCACTCTGTGGAAATGGAGTGTCTTTGGAGCTAGAAGCTTTGTGAATGCCAGAGATGTTCTCCCTGCATCTCTCAGTTCCAGCTTCCCAAGTGTTGGTCACCTTACAAGGGAAGCTGCGTGGATCATGGGAAACAGAGGCTGCGTTCTGCCAGTGCCCCCCCCCCTTCCTTCCTCTTATTTCCTGTGTTCCTGCTTCGCTTTGGGCGGGACAGAAATCAAGCAGCCATTGAGCAGTCCCTTCCAGATCCTGCAATGTGAATGTAGCCTGATTGGGCCCATTGTGCATTTGTGTATCCCTGGCTTGTGTCGGTGGGTTTCTCAGAGCACTGATAACCAATTTTCAATTTATTCTATTGAAGGGGCTGGGGTGGGGTACTTCGTTTGCATTTGTTTTTTTAGCTCTTCTGTGATAACTTGTTGAATATTAAAGAGATATTTTGCTTCTATTGGGACATTTGTATACTTGCAACTATATTTCTGTACACAGCTGCAGTCCAGAATAAAACTTTGAAAATTTTCATTTCATAATGTATAACTGGCGTGCTGTTCTTTCCAACATCTTCCGTTTAATAGCATTAATTCTCTGAGTTTTGCGAAGTGTCTTCCTCTCAGGCTCAGAAGCTGAAGAACACTGAGACTGCAGGAAGAGGCTCACCACGTGAACTCATTCCAGAGCCTCATTTTTTCTGTTGCATTCAGTTGCTCCAGCTGATGGCCACTTTGGGCTGCATACTTGGTATTCCTGGATTGCCATCTGTCAGAAATGGTATAGGGACTCCTGCTTGGGTGGGGAGTTGGACTGGATGACCTACAAGATCCCTTCCAACTCTGTGATTCTATTGTCCTGTCCTATCCTATCCTATTATTCCTATTCCATTCCTCAAAAAGCTTTGGGGTTGTCTGAGGATGCTTACTTTGGGAACAGCATTGGGAGAAGTGCAGATCTTGGCAAAGTGGGGTGGGGGAGGGAAACCTTTATGTGGGAATAGTCTTTACGCTTGATGATCTTCTGAACATGGCCTGTGATTGCCTGGCAGGTGGAAACAGAGATGGAACTCTTTGTTCTGCTTTATGGAGTGCAGACTGAAAAATGTTCCTGATAACCCATAATGTGTTTAAATAGAAATGGGAATGCCCCAAGTTTGGACACTGAGGTTTTAGTTGTGATCGAAGGCCATACAAAAAGCTAGTCTCACCTCTGCATTAATGTCCTCTATTAATTCTGCATTCTGAAACTTGAGTCAATCAATCTGTGTCTCACACAACTAAAGGGACTGCTTTTCTCTGCTTTTTTGGTTGTGCATGTCTCTTCTGCAAGGCCAATGGCCATTTCTAAAGCAACCTACAACTACAGACCTCATTAAAGAGTGTATATAAAAGAGAATCAACTTACCTTGACTTGCCTAGAGGTAAGCTGCTTAGTTATTGTGGAATGCATAACATCCTTCCACACAGTCTAGCAAATTAATCACAGAACATTGGCAAGGTACATATTCAGGGCTTTTATTTCATTAAGAACATTTACAGACAGAAAAGGATGGGCAATTATCACTTCATACCTAGTATGTGACAGATTAGTCTCAGCAGCTAGACTTGGATCTTAAAAAGCAGGCATTGACATTGACGGCATCCTAAATATGCAAAGAGAAAAGATTTCCAGGTTTTAGGCAACATGAATGCTGAAGCAGTGCTAGCAGACTTCTCTAATTTCCATCGGCAGGCAACCTCTGAAGGCAATCGAACCCCACAATTACACCACCAAGAGAACAGAGCTGGTTGGAAAACCTACCTGAATGACCCAACACTGCCTTGGCTGAGCAGTCACTCAGGAAGGCCCAGTTGAGAGGCCCCTTTCCCTGCACCTGCTAATTTCTAGAAGAAGGGTGAGGTGGGCTCATGGCCACTGCAATCCTACACAGCTTCTCAATGGGGCAAATACTTCTCCTGGGCCTTGATCTGGTTGTCTGGTGGGAATGGCTTCCCCAGGTGCTGGCCAACAGTCAGCCCGTATTTTTCCTTTTCCCGCTCTTCCTGGACATCTTTCTTTAGCACAAAGCCTTTAGCAAAATTCAACTCAAAAAGGCTGTTTGGGGCAAAGCTGAGAGGCTCCTCTTCCCAGATGGCTCTCAGTCGCTTCTTCCAATCCTCCAGAATTTGGGAGCGGACATTCTCCGGAGTATGCTGGCCAATACTGAAAGCAATCTGGGGAGCCAAGACTTGGAAGCCGCAGAAATGAAGGGTGCCATTCTGCATGGGTGAGAACCATAAGTGCCATAAAGCAAATGCACCATCTTAGCATTTTGTCTTGGAGGAATCACCCATACCCTGAACATGTTGCCAGGTCCACAGAACCAAGAGCAGTTACTTCAGAGTAGTTCCTTTATTGTTGTTTGACTATAGACAGAAATGTTGCCACAGACTAAATCAACTGCCTGCATAACTAGTAGATAATCACCTGTAAAATGCTGTGTGTGTGTGTGTGGTGTGTGTCCACCTTTACCCTATTCCTGCATACCAGTAATTCTCTTTGCTTTTGGGAAAGAGCCCCTCCCTCCTGAGACTTTGGACTACATTCCGCCTTATGCACACAAACTTTTCTTCCCTTTGGAAACTCAAGAGGCCTGTATTTCAACAAGAGGCTATCCGTCCCCAGGAAGTGAGCTGTTGTCTTCTTTCCTCACCTGTATTGGCCAGAGCAGGATGTTAATGTCTCCATTGATGCCTGCTGGGGTGTACATGGAACCCATCCCGCCAGTGGTGAAGGACAGCACGGCCTTCTTTTTCTGTAGGCCGGCAAAGCACAGTCAGGCACGGCGGTCAGCCCCGCTTCCCCTGGAGCATGGGTAGGCAACCCAAAACACTCAAAGAGCCACTTGGACCCGTTTCCCACCAAAAACAAAACACCGGGAGCCGCAAAACCCTTTTGATATCTAAAATGAAGATAACACTGCATATATCCTTTTTTACCTTTATTATAGGTGTGTGTGTGTGTGTGTGTGTGTACACACACACACACACTAAAAATAAAAGTAAAAATATCACTCTTGGGAATATCCATACTATTAAAACAATGATCACCAAGAGAATGCTTTAAGAGAATAAAATTACATACACACACAGGTAAAAAAAGGATATATGCAGTGTTATCTTCATTTTAGATGTCAAAAGGGTCTCTCTCTCTGTCTCTCTCCCTCCCTCCCTCTCTATCTGCCTTTGGTCTGCCACTCCTCTTCCCCCACTCTCTTTCTTTCTCTCTCTCTCTTTCCTCTCTCTCTCTCTCCCTCCCTCTCTCTCTTTCTCTCTCTCTCTTTCTCCCCCCCCCTCCTATCTGCTGCTCACCTGGCAAGCTTCAAGCTGTTGTCCAACAATCTCAGGGGTAACCAACCTTGTCTCTTTTATGACTCATGGACTCATGGACTTCAACTCCCAGAATTCCTGAGTCAGCCTAGCTGGGCTAGCTAGCTCTCTCCTGCCCTTCCTGCTTCCTGCTTCCTGCAGAGACGCAGCAAAGGGAGGAGCTCCGCCCTGTAAGCTTTTCAGCTCCTCGGAGAACACTGTGAGTGCACTCTCTTTTACACACACACACACACACACAGAGAGAGAGAGAGAGAGAGAGAGAGAGAGAGAAGCAGGGAAGCGCAATTGCCTCTCTCTGTCTCTGTCTCTCTCTGCAAAGGCAGAGGAGGCTGGGAGCCACAGGGGAAGGCCCAAAGAGCCGCATGCGGCTCCGGAGCCGCAGGTTGCCGACCTGTGCCCTGGAGGGAGAGGGACCAGCAGGGTCCTGTTGCCACCACAGCTGCCGGACTGGTCTGGTCTGCCATGTTCCCGCCAGCCCCTAGTGACAGGCCCACTGAGGCTCAGGGACAGGACGGTGGGCCTTTTGGAGTGGCCAGAAAACGGCAGCAGCAAGATACCAGTTGGGTGTGTGTGGCAGATGCCCGCCTGCCGCCCCCCTTCTTTCCGTCTAGGGCTGGGAGTGCAGCTCCTTCCTGGTACCCTGCCCAGCCAAGGAGGGCCAGCTCCCTGCAAGCAGCCCGAGGCGGCGCTTCCCTCCCCCTGCCCGCAGCCGCCTACCTGGAAGGGCCCCTGGTCGTACATAGCGCCGTAGGAGTAGGCAAAGCCCTGGACGAGGACCCGATCGAACCAGCCTTTCAGAATGGCTGGGAGGCCAAACCAATGGAGAGGAAACTGGAAGGCAAGCAGGGCCGGGCGGCGTTAGGCAAGCAGGGCCGGGCGGGGCTGGCCGGGTTCTGACCCGCTCCCAGGCCCAACGAAGGCGGCTCGGGGGGCGCGGGAGCGAAGCGCTCGGCCCAGGGGCTTCTGCGGCGCCCCGGCTAAGCCCGGACGGCGCCGATCGGCCGCCAGATGCGCCGGCCGCGCGGAAAAGGGATCGGGGCTGGGCGGCCGGCGCGGCGCGGCGCGGCGCGAAAAGCCCACCTGGAAAAGGACGAGGTCGGCGGCTGCCAGCTTCTCCATCTCGCTCAGAATGTCGCCTCGAAGGCGTCCTTCCTTCCAGGCCAGCCCGGCCTCCTTCGCGTAGTTGAGGCTGCGCGGGTCGTCGGGGTCACCTGCGGCGGGGCGAGCAGCAAGTTAGGCGGCGGCGGGGAGCGCGCCAGGCAGGGCGGGGAGGCGGGACGGGGCGTTAGTACCGGCGAAGTCCGCGCGCGACAGGACCGGGTCGAAGCGCTCCGCGTAGAGGTCGGAGACGGCGACGATCCAGCCGGCGCCCTCCAGCGCCTCGACGGCCGCCCGCTGCATGGCGTGGTTGAAGGAGGCCGGTTCCTGGTGGGCCAGCACGATCAGCGCCCGTCTCGCTGCCGGAAGAGGAGGAGGAGGAGGAGGAAGGCGCCGGCTCGCTCGCACCCCTCCCCCCCACCCGCCAGCAGCCAGAGGAGCGGCGCCCCGGGCAGAACCGCAGCCCGCCCGCTCCCCGCCCCGGCGCTGCCTGAGCGCGGAGTTCCGGAGGGGCGGTGGCTGGGCGACGGGGCCCGCCGCGAGGGAGACTTACCAGCCATGGACACCACGGGGCACCGCGGCGGCAGGACTAGAGAACGAGCGAGCGAGCGCGGAAGCGCCTTTAGCAGCGGCCGGTGGCGGAGAGCTGCAGCGCGTCGGGGTCCAGCGGGCGCTCGCTCCAAAACTGGCCCGGCAGACTCCGCCTCGTCCGCGACCGCCGGCCTTTGGAGGCGGCGCTCCCTCCCGCGCCTCGCTCCGCCTGCCGTCGGAAGCTGGGCGGCCCCTCCCCAGCCTCGGCTCTCCGCTCTCAGGCCGGCCGCGGCGAGTCAGTGGGTGCGGGCGGCGTCTCGGAGGTCTCCGGAAAGGGCGCGTTAGCAGACCCTCTGCCCTTCGGCCGCCCTTTCCCCGCTAAGGGTGCCCCTCTCCCGTCCTTAGGACGCTTGTCCCAGAGGACAGAAGTGGCTGATTAGCCCCGGGACCGGCAGCTCGAATGCGGCTGCCACTCGCCTGGATGGCTGGCTCCCATCAACTCTGCCTCCTTCAAAGGGGGGCAGCTGGGATAGAAGAACCTGGAAGGAACCGCTCCCGGCATACTAAAACAAGGAGGCACCGCCTCCCCCGGGACCCCTGGATTGCGGGCCCTGGTGGCAACCATGCTGGTATCCACAACAGGAGAACTTGGGCCCCAGATGGCCTTTGTTCACCATAAACAGGTGGCTTCCTGCCAGCTAAAAGATGGTCCTGTTCTGGGTGCCTCACCCACTGGCACCCACTGCCCTCAACCCACTGAAACATCCCACCAGGTTATGCAGGACGCAGGAGCAGCTTCAGTGACAACAGATTTCTGCTGCCAGATTTCCATATAGGTGGGAAGGTAAAGAGTGCCACAGGCATCTGTGTGCAGCAAAAGCCCTTCCCATCAGCTGAGAGGCAAAGGGGATGCCGGCGGCTTTTGGCCCTGCAACTTGGAATCAAACACAGGCCAGAGCAACCTGCACACCGAAGCCTATAACAGCCCAGCCAGGCTTAGTTCAAAGTGAAGATAGAAACACCTCCCCCCCCCACTCCAAAGGGTCCAATCTGAGTCAGTCACCTGGGCCAAAAGTTTCTTCTTCCAAGCTTTCAGGCTTATACCTGCAAGAGACCAATGGCCCAGGTTCAAAGTTTTGATCTCTCTCTCTCTCTCTCTCTCCCTCCCTCCCTCCCCCCCCTCTCTCACACACACACTACACAAGGCACTTTTAGCATTCAGCAGCTGGCCCGCATTTATGACCTTGCAGTCACAATTTACTTTTTTGCCAGAAATACTTCTGGTTTCCAGCAAAAAAAAGGGTCTGTAATAAATAGGTTTGCTTAACAACTACATTTGCTTAATCACCACAAAACAGGTCGTACAAAAGGGTCCTGTTTTGTGATGACCCGCTTTATGACAGTTACAACTTATGACCATAACCTCCAGGCTCAATTACAGCCAGAAGTCAAGGACTATTGTTACACATCTGCAGTTTCTCCTTCAGAGGTGAAAATCATAACATAACCACCCACATCAGCTAAATTGGTTAGAGGTGGTAATCATCCAGTTCAAATATTCAAGTCCAAATTGTACTACAAAAGCCACTGCTCAGTCCCACTAGGTAGGCCAGGCGAAGACTAGAACTACACTTTATTGAGAGGGGCTGTAAGAGACTCTTGCCAGTCTGATCAGGCTTTCCGTCCTGTCCTCCTTACAGTCCAGAAAACCAGGGAGGCATTTGCCTTCCAAACATTTCTGGCCTATTTCCCTCAAGGTCACTTTCCTTCCTCATTGCAGGACAAAGGTCAAGAGGAGGGAAGAGAGCCAGGCAGAAAATCCAGCTGGACTTGTCTGGTGAGGGTGTGTCCTTTTCAGATGCCCAGGAAGCTGGAGTGGCCCCTGCGAAGCCTTACCAGTTTTGCACCCAACTCTGGTGGGACTCTGTGGCCTGAGCTCACACAAGACCCCAGTCAGAAGAAAAGCTACGGGAAGAGCTTTGTTTTTTAGGCTGAAATGGTTGCAGAGTTCAAAGGCCAGCACACCAACCCAGGCAACTGGGCATTAGCATGTTCTGAAAAGCACACTGCCTTTTCCAGATTCTGTGCATTTAACTACCTGTAGCTGCTGAAATACAGCAAGTTTGCAAAAGATTCTTTTTCACAGGAAACTCTGCTGGAAGAAGAAGAAAGCTTAATTCTTTTCTTCAGTCTGCAAGTGATCTCTCAAGGGACAAAATCAAACAATGTAGGACAAACAAATTTGCTGAGTCTCCCAGAAGGATTGTTTCATCATATGTACCTTTAAAGCCAGAACCCCAAGGGAGGTTTCTAGCATCTGCTAATGTTAGGAAAGCCAAGATGCACATTTGACAGAAGAATTGCACTTTAGTCTTGAACAGCTACACTGAAACATCTCGGAGCGTACCTTGAGCATCTTGGGAGAAAAGTAACACAAAACTGGCCCATCTCCAGCTATCCAAATCCATTCTGGGTTGTTGATGAAAAAAAGGAAGACGAATGATGGACCTCTCTGCTGCTTGGGCTGTCTAACCACAGGAGAAACCAGAGAAGGGTCCCTGTAGGGAAGTTTCCATCAGCTACACCAAGCATCACTTGAAAGAAGCCAAATTTATTTTCTCCACATCTAAAAAACAGCCATAACTGAAGAAAAGCCAGGGTTTATTTCAAATACTGTTGTTCTGCTTCTCAAGAATCCAAGTCAACTTTGTCCAAAAGCCACTTTCCCTGCAGCCCTTTCTGGATTGCCTCACAACAGCCCTTTCACTTATGGCCAGAGGGCTGAGTCTGGCCTCGCTCCCTCATTTGTTTTTCAGAAACTTTTTGCGACTCATATTTGGGTTCAGGCGCCTTCTGCCTGCACCCAGTGCTGCCTCCCGGATCTGCAGATTGGCTGCCCGGCTGTGAATGTCGTGTTCAGCAAAAGGAGAAACTCCAGCCACGTAATCAGGGTCAAAGGCATTGGTCTTCTGCCTGGCCTTGCGGGAGAGCCGCTGCTGGGGGAAGCGCTGGTCCTCCGTCAGGTGGGGATTACTAGCATGCTTGCCTCCTTGAGGAGCCGGCAGAGAGTGCTGTGGAGACAAGCCCGGCAGGCCCTTACCCCCCTGGAGGCAGTGGCCTTCCTTGGGCTGCAAGGGCCCTGAGCAGCCTTGCTCTGCCCAACCGGTTCTCTGGCCTGGGGCTAGCAAGCAGGGAGTGGTTGCCTAAGGGAGCTCGGCTGCTCCCAGCCCAGTACTTCTCATGGGGGGCGGTAGAGCAGAAGCAGCCCCCCCTAGAAGGGAAAGGGGAGGCAGAAGCAGACCACCAGGATGGGGCACTCACCCGGAGGCCACGTGGGTTCAGGACTTTGGGGTTCTGGGAAAAATGCAGGTGGAAGCTGCCATCGTCTTTCACTGTCACGGCCACTTTCTTCAGCGTCTTGTTCCCACAGTGGGGGCAGAAAAGCCGGGTCATTTTTGATGTTGTCCTAGAGAGCAGCACATCAGCCCCATGAATGCCCCACGGCTTCCCAGCCAGTAGCCAGCTTGTGCACCTGTAACCCACGTACCTGAAGCAACCATGGCAACGCAGGATGTAGCTGCGGGCCTGCCGGATCAGCAGGCCGTTGAATGCCAGCACATGTAGCCCCATCTGCAGCAGAACGTTCTGGGGGAGACGGGGAAAAGGCAAGTGAGGAGGAGGCAGAGCATGGCGAGGCCCAACAGGGATGAACAGGGGACTGGCGGGTTTCACAGAGCGCCTGCTTGCCTGCATAGCAAAGTCAGTGGTGACGCAGCCAACCTGCACCTTGGCAGGCTCACTCCCCCAGCAAGTGCTCTGCTGGATCTGCTCAATGTTCCTTGGCGTGATCCAGCCATCTTCCTTGCTGCTGTCCTCCTCACTACTCTGTTGGCCCTCAGGGTCCTCCGCCTCTAACAGAAGAGGGTCTGCTTCCTGTGAAGGAGAGAACAATTAGGCAGCATCTATGCACACGGTACCTGCCCAGCCCACTGAGTCAAGGAATCCTGCGTGTGCCAGTCATGCAGCCGCCCCAGCTGTGTGAGAAGGGAGACAGTGGATCTCTCACCAACAGGCCTTCCAGGTCCTCCTCTATGTTAGGCAGAGGATTCCTCCAGAACAGGAAAGAAGAAAACTCAGGCTCTGCAAGTGCTACAGGATCTTCTGGATCTGTTTCCACTACCAAGGGGATCGTCTCATTTCCTGGGCATTTTGTCTTGTGGTTGAAAGTGCAAAACAAAATGAATCTCAATCGATGCCGGTCCTGTACAGCACCTATCAGTCAAGGCAGCTGCTATCCCCAGTAACTGGCAAAGAAACAGCCCTTTCTCCGCATCCTCCAGCCTCTTGCCTTGGGGAGGGTTAGTGGGAGGGCAGAGCTTCTGCAGAAGCTCCCATCACCAGGGCTTCCCACAGCATCAGTAGAAGGAAAGGTGCTCTCCTGCCACAATGCCGTCATGGAGACAGACTGAGGCCCGGAGTGGCTAACTCCCACAATTACCTTAGTGCGGACATGGAAGCCAGGAACATCAACTGGTGCTTCGGGGTGGCGGTTTGTTGAGTTGAGCTGTACCTGCAACGTTCAGGGCACGGGGAGTCTTGAGCGGGCGGCAGCCGTAGCGCCCGGTCCAGCTCAGCATCCCCTTCCCCACCGATCTTCCTTCCTCGCACGAGCAGATCAGCTCGCAGGCAGCCGCCTGCATCGCCCTCGGCGCGCGGGGGGGGGGGAGTGCACCTGGGGCCGCGGCTCCGTCCGCAGGGGGCGCCCCCCGCCGTGTTCGGCCTCCAGCTGCAGCGTCAGGGCAAGGATCTGGATGTCGGCGGCGGAGAGACTGCGGAAGTCGCCCGTCTGCTGGGAGAACTCGGTCACTGCGGGCACAAGAGGCTTTCCTGAGGGCTGCGAGAGGCGGCGGCGGGGGTGGTCGAAGGCCGCGGCGAGGGGGGGCACTCACCTAGACGCACGTGCTCGGGGAAGGGCTGCCGGAGGAGCAGCTGGAAGGGCAGCCCCGCCAGCCGCCGCCGCGCCGCCCGGTCCCGGATCTCCGCCAGCACCTCCCGGGTCGTGTAGACGCGCTTGCCGATCTCCTGCGGGGACAACGAGTTAGCCCGGCCCGCCCCCCCGCCCCCCCGCCGGCCCCTTCTCGGTACCTGGAGCGGCGCCGCCCGCAGGAGCGCGCTGGCATCGGCCACTAGATGCTCTACGGGCACCATGCTGTGCCCGGCCAGAGAGTAGCGACGCGCTAGAGCGGCACTGACGCCGGGGGAAGTGCCGCATGTCCGGTGCCCCCCCTACTCATGCGGCCGCTCTGCTCTCCACGCTCCGCTCGCTGGTCCGGCCGTGCCCGGTGACCCGCCGTCACGTGACGGCTCCAGAGGCGGAAGCGCTCCGCCGCCGAGCCGGGAATCCCCAGTCAGAGCCGGCGGGGCCCCGGAGGTCGCAATCGCCGCGTCGTTCCGCAGGTGGGTTGCGGGCAGCCCCGGCCGCAGCTCGAGCCCCTTCTCCTCGGTCCGCTCGGGGCTGCGCTCCCCTCTGCCCTGGCGGGAGGGGTGCCTCGGGCCTCCGCCGGAGCGGCGCCGCCCTCCGAACCCCGCGCGCCCGAGCCGCCCGGGCCCGCCGAGCGAGGCGGGGCGGTTTGCGCCTCTCCGGCTTCCTCTGGCTAGCCGCGCCGTGACGGGACCTCGCCGCCCCTTCTGGGGCTCGCCGAGGCTGCCCCTTTCCCCGAGTTGCGGCGGAGCTAGGGTTCCGGGCTCATCCCGCGGTGCTCGCCGCGCTCTCGGGCGGCCCAGGGGCCTCGGCACCAGGTCTCTTTGCGGGGCTGGGCCGAGAGCCCGTCGCGCTGGGGATGCTCTGCGGACTGGCCAGCCTGGAGCTGAGGCGCCTCGCTGTTGCCCGCCTCTTGCAGGTCCTGATGACCAGATGGCCTCCGAGGGGCTTGCTGGGGAGAAATCTCCGCTGACCGTGAAAGGTGGGTCCCGCTTTATCTTAAGGCTGCCCTTGTAACTGCCCCCCGTCCCGTATTTGGTTGGGGCCCCTCCTGCCAGGGGAGGAAATGCCTCCCGTCAGGCCAAAGTTCACAGCCAGCAACAGATTTTCTCTGCTACGGTGTCGGCAGGGCAGCCTTCCTCCTCCTCTGCCGTAAGGGAAGGGTGAAATGCTGCTCTTTTTTCTGGTGGAGGAGCCCACGGCGCCCTCTGGGAGGGGGGACCGGAGGTCTGCCTGTGATCCCAAGAATCGTCTCCTGGCAGCTTTCATAAGAGCAGATGCAGTTTCTGAACCAGCAGGAAACCAGCCCTGTCATGGCTTCCGTGTGCAGGGTGACGTTTCCTCGAACCATTCACTGCAGTTCGGGTTGCTCAGCCTAGGCCTTACTGGGGTATGTGCAAAGTGTCTGTCTCTTCCCTTACATCAGTGGTTCTCAACCTGTGGGTCGGGACCCCATTTGGGGTCGAATGACCATTTCACGGGGGGTCACCAAACCATGCTGTCTGCCATTTTTTCCCTTTTCCCTAGCTGTCCTAATCCCTCTTATTGGTGGCCACACCCACTTGGGGGTCACCACAACATGGGGAACTGTATTATGGGGTCACGGCATTAGACAGGTTGAGAATCACTGCCTTACATGCACCCCTTTCTTTAAAGCTCACACACATTATTTGGAAAGCTGTCTGCGTAATGTTTATTCTTCCTGTTTAGTGACCCTGAAAAACTTGATCACTCCCTGCTTGCCCATAACTCTGTGTCTTTTGGAACCAATAACTCATGCAGATGCAACATAGATGGGAGGAAGGCCTCGGCACACCCCTTGCCCATGGAAGTGCCTGCTTGGGTGGCCCCTTCAGGCTGGCCAGCTGCTTGCTATGCCCCCAGAGTGCCACTAGGGGGCTCCCAAAGCCCAGCAGCTTCTCCCACAGTGGTCAGCCACTGGCTCTGCCCTGATGCCCTCCTGCCCTCTCTCCCTCCCTCCCTCATTGCTCCCAACTTTGCCACCTGGGAGGTTTCCAGGGAGATTTGGCTCCAGATGTGGGGTGCCTAGAGGGTGCTCCCTCAGTTTGGTCCATCGAGACAATGGCTGCTTTGCACCTATGAAGCTTTGTCTAAATGCTTCCAATTAATTGAAACAAAAGTTGGTGTGCATTTTTGCCCCAGGCCCTCAAAGGACAAATGCTTCTGTATGCAGAGTGGCCTGGATAATGAGGGGAGGAGGGGGGCAGAAGTTGGGATGAGTGTAGGCGGTCACATCTGTCCCTTCTTCTTTCCACAGTTGTTTCAGCAAAGCCCAAGGCCCAGGGCCACCAGTCTCGGATCACCTCCTTTGTGGAGGTAGTAGTAGATGGACTCGCCAATGAGGCCAAGAAAACAGGGAAGCAGACCGGGAGCTCTGAGCTGCTCTGGAATGAGAGCCTGGTGCTGTAAGTACTGGGGCCCTGAGCATTTAGGGGGGGGGGGGACAGTATTGTTCCCTCAGCCATACTTCCTGCATCAGCTGGGCTGCCTACCATAGAAGCAGCCTCTTGCTGACCCAGGGCTGTGGGCTGTGCCAGGCAGACCTGCAGGAAGACTGGGTTGCTGATTCCTCTGCCACCGCTGCATCCAGGTTGGTCTGCTCTTAAGAGCGTGAATCGAAGAGAGACCAGAATGCTGGGTGCTTCTGTCTGCTGCTCTTGGGTCCTGCTTAGGTTTCCCCCCATTTTTAATGGTTTGCCTGTCAGCCTGGTTCTAGGGGCTCAATAGCCCATCCTTCTCTCTCCCAGGAATGTCACTTCTCAAAGCCACCTGGATCTGAAGCTCTGGAGCTGTCACACCCTGCGCAATGAGCTGCTTGGAGTGGCGTCCGTCAACCTCTCCAGCATGTCGAAGCAGAGCAAGGGGAAAGGTATCTCTGCTCCACTGAGCCCTGCCTTCCTGGCCTCACTGGGCCTCCTGGCAGCAGAAACAGGAAAGAAACAAGGCTACCTTGTGAGCAGCTGGGCGGCTTCCTAGGCCCGCAGTGGGGCGATGGCGGCAGCAACAGCTTCCAGGATGGAGGTCATCCCTCCTCTGGCTGCTGGCCATCTGCTGCCCCCCTTGGCAGCTACTTGAGGTAGCCCTCGGCAGCTGTGCTGCATAAAGGTCTCCATTCAGGGGCAGCACAGCACTCAGTCTGTTCAGCCCAGCTCCTCCCCCCCCCCGGGTCCCATGCAGAGGAAGCTCTCGCCTCCTGAGTGGGCTGGGCTGAAAGAAAATGGGGAGAGCCAGGAGTGGGAGCTCCAATCTTCTGGTCTGGCAGTGTTGGTCCTGCTACCTTGGAGATCTCTACCACTTGGCGCAGGAGCACCAGATTGAGTCAGGGCCCTCGTGTGAGGTTCTGGGAGCCATAGCTGCCCTTGGAAGCACTGGGGCCTTTGGGGCTGCCTGGGCCCTGAAGCGCACTTAGTGGCTGGGGCCAGAGGGCAATACTGGAGTGAGCCTCCCCTTTTCCCATCTGCTTGCTCACCGGAGCCGCCGTCCTCTGGATACAATGCTCCTTTCATAAGGCAAAAGGCTGTTTGGGGAAGCAAATGGAGACGGTTCTGCTGGATACAGAATGGAATTTGCCTGGCCTCAACTGCAAGGAAAGGCTTTGAACACCAGCTGGGCCACAGGGCTCTGCGGTGGACACTTCTCCAGCTGCTGTAACCCAGAGTAGGAGAGATTTGGGGCGATGAGGAGGCCTGGCTGCTCCATCGCCTGCATTTCCCAAGGGAAGAGCTGGCATTTCTGCCCAGCTTTCCCCAGGAATGGGACAGCCGATGGACTTCACATCCCAAAGTCTTTGGAAGGCACCAGTGAGGGAGAGTGAGGAGGGGGAGACCAATTGGCCTTTCTGAAAGAGTGCCTGGCCCTTGGCTCGGCTCCCTCTTGCCAGGCTCTGCCCAAGAGGTGCCACTTGATGGGAAGAGCAGATGTGGGCAAATTGACCACTGGTGGCTCTCCTGCTTGGCCATCCTTTAAGCAGTGACTCATTCCAGCCAAACACTGAGGCAACAGAGTCCCCAGGAGCTGCCTTCAACCGCTTCGTGGGGTCCAGCTGAGTCCTGGTCTTCCTACGCCCTGCCAATTGCCCCTTCTCCTTGAGTTTGAGGCTGCTTGTTGGCCCCTTCTGCTCCTCAATGGCCTGGGGGGGGGGACTGGGGGAGACAGGCAGCCCTTTGCAGCTTGAGCAGAGGAGGTGGTATGAATACATCCAGGCCCCTCCAGCACCTCTTGCAGGGGCCTCTTTGCTCTCCAACCTTAGCAGGAGGGGTCTCCCTTTCCTGCCTGGCCTGATGAGCCCAGCCCCAGCACTGTCTTGCAGCTGGGCTGGGAGGAGGCCCTGTGCCAAAGCTGGAGGGGGGGGGGTAGTTGATTTCCTGATTGTGGTTGTACCTGGAGGATTGTGTGTGCATGCGGGAAGGGAGGTGTTAACAGAAAACCAGTCAGTTCTGTGGGTGAACTACTGAAGAGCAGAAACAGAGCCCTCCCTGCCCCCTTCCAGTGTGCCCCCCCCCTAGTTTTTGCAGCTCCAATCGGTGCCAATGGTGGCATGATGCAAGGAAGGAGGCTCCTGAGCAAAGGCTGGCTTATCTCTGCAGACAACAGACGTGCAGGCTGCTGCTCGGCGTGGGGGCTCTCCTGGGCCAGGGAGGGCAGCCCCTCTACCAGGACTGTACCCCATGGAAAACTGGGTATTGGGGCCCCTTCTCTCTCTCCCTGCACACACAGAGCTGTTCAGCAGCCTTTCAAGACTTGGAAGGGGGCTGCTGCTTCTCAAACTCGGTGCAACCTGTTACTTCCAGCTTTTTCCACGGAGCGCATCTGGATTTCCAGATCTTAAAATATGGAATCAACACTGAACACAGTTTTCCAGAAGAGAATCTGAGCGCTATTTAAAGAAGAGAGAATGCCATATTATATAACTCAAATTATGGTTTTAAAATTCTTTTTTTCACCTTTTTGGCAATTTTAATGTACTAATTGGTGATTAGTTGCAATTCTGGTGTACTTTTAGGCACCCTTTTCAAACACTTCTCCACCCAGCCCAAAATTAAGACTCTTTTCCTTTCTCTCTAAACCAAATCTCCTTTCTGTAAGGGCATTTCCCCCAAGTCCGGTTCCGTTTCTCTTTTCTGGAATCTGTGCCTCTCCCTCCCCCAGACTCCTCAATCAGCCTTAGGAGGTGCATCAGGGACCCTTTTTCAGGAGGCGACTGGCCTGCTCTCCCCCTGCTGTGACTACTGCCTGAGACTCCCTCTTCCTGCCCCCCCCCCCAGTGGGAGTCCCAGCCAAGGGAAGCTCTGCTGCGTAGAAGCCAATTCAGGGCTCAGTGTGCCTTTGTGCCCCTCTCTGGGGACCCCCGTTGGACAACTGAAGGGCCTGGCCTTGATGGGGCCCGTGTGGGGCTTTTCTTATGAGGGGATGTGCTGAGTCCTCCGCTTGGAGGGGGGCCTCTCATCTTTCCGGGGGCCAAAGAGGATCTGGGTAGCAGCAGTGGGGAAGTGGACTGTTGCGATGGGGCAGAGCAGAACTCGAAGGTCTTAATGGGACATCTCCCGCAGCCTGAAAAGAGATGTCTCTGGGGAGCCTGCTGAGCTCCCTTCTGGAAGCCAGGCTGGTGGTGGTGGGGGGGGTTGTCTCCGCAGGGTGTCCTGAGCAAGGCAGCCATCTTTGGGGTATTTCACGCCAGGCTAGCATCAGTTCTGTGCAGTTGGAGTTGGGCCTCGAAGAGCAGGTGGGAACAGGCGGGGCTGATGAGGAGGCAATGGATCCTGCAGGGGGTCAAGAACTGGCAGCTCTGCTCAGGCTGCCCGTGAGGAGGAGAGCAGAGCCCTGGGGTGAAGCAGGCTCAGGCATCGTGGGTGCTGATGGGCAACGGCTTTCACCCTCACAGTGGAGAACAAGCCGATGACCTTGAACCTGCAGGCAGAGAGCAAAGGCGGCCTCCTCTCGGGTGGTGAGCTGACGGTCTTCCTGGATGGGCCTGGCATTGAGGCGGGCAGCCTGCCTAATGGCCCTGTGGCAGCAGGCGAAGGTGAGCGAGGAGGAGCTGCCCAGGACGGGTGGCCCTTCCTGTCCTCGTCCACCTTTGCAGTAGTGAGGCTGTTCCCTGGGGAGCCTACAGGAGCCTTGTGCCTCACCAGCTGAGCTCTTGAGGGAGAGGCAGAGGCTGAGGTGGGCAGAGGCTCCTGCTCTGCGTCAAGTAAGCCGAGGGTGGCACCTTTCAGGGGCTGCCAGTGCAACTGGTGCTTTCTGGGAATGGGCTCTGAGGTCTGCCGGAAAGCACCGACCCAGGGAGCTGCCCTGGGCAAAATCGCCCAAGGCATAAAGGGAGATGCCTCTGGGTGCCCCAGAGAACCCTGAACCTTTTCTCCAGGTCTGCTATTGTAAGCCCTCAGTCCTGGGGGGGGAGACGGGGCAGGATGCTCGCCAGGCTTGGCTGTGCATTCCCCATTTCTTGCAATTTCAGGGCCCCAGGGAGCCGGGAGGGAGTCTGGGGGCCCACCTGCTTCCCCGGAGAACAGGCCCCAGGCCTCCAGCACAAACTGCCTTGGTGGTTGGTCCAGGTAAGGCTCTGGGTGGGAGTGTGCCACAAGGATGGAGAAGTTGCCCGAAGGCTTCTTGGGCTGCAGGGGGAGGAGAGCCAGCCCTACTGCTCCCCCCAAGGTGTGCTGCCCTTCCCTTCCCTCCTAGCTGAGGTGATCCTGCGGGGCCCTTGCAGAGCCCCTGGCCAGACGCCCTGTGGGTCATTTGGCTACAGCAAATGCTCCCTCGGGGTTCATGGGCTCCATCTCAGGGCACTCCCTTGTGTGTGTGCTTGGGGGGGGGGCTGACTGCCCCATTGACTGCACCTTTCCTGAGTGAGGAACCGGCGTCAGGGATGGGAGCTGCAGATGTATCGCCCAGGCCCCGCTGCTCTGGCTGATTGGGCTCTTTGCCCCCCCCCAAGTCTCCTCTGTTGTTCTGCGCATGCTGGGCCTCTGGCATTGTGGCTCTGTGCCTCATGCGGGCTCTTGGATGGGGGAGCTGAGGCCCTGGCTTGCTCTCCTGGCCTGTGGTTGCCCCCCTGCCTCTTGGCTCTATGGGCCCGGTGCCCACCCCAGCCTTTCCCCAGCAACACCCCTGTCATTTCCCTGGTCCTATTTTAAGCTCCATAAGCTTTGCCATGTGGCTGCCTTGGTTCACTTCCACAAGCTATTAAAAGATAATTGACTTTTAGGAGCCCAAGTTAGGAGCCCATAGGAAGGTACATTCAGCCACTGCTACTCGTCCTTCGGAAGGAGCCATTGGGTTTCTGGCAGCCTCTGTGGGGGGGAGGTGCGTCCCTGACTGCCTGCCTCGTACCGCATGCCAGGGACAGCCTTGCACCCGCTGCCCCTGGGCTTGTTTCTGCTGTTTTCTCTCCCCTTCGCCTATGCCCAACCTGATGTTAGTTCCAGGGCGTTTTAGATGTGTGGGATCATACCACCCCCATCGGGTGAGTCAGTGAGTTGATTATATTGTATTATTTGATCTTTGCCATCAGTCTTATAACATGGCTCTTTAGTGGCTGAGGAAAGGGGACAGCCCATTTTTCTGGAGCCTGCCTAGCTGAGTATTCTGGGATTTACAGTTTGCTTGAGAGGCCTCCCTTCTTCTTCCCTGGATGGTCGAGTAGCCCTTGGGGTCCTGCAGCATGAGGGTGCTGAGCAGGGACAGAGGAGGCTAGCTTTCCAGCTCTGAGCCAGGCCTGCCCAGCCCCTGCGTGGCTCCCACGGTGCATCCCAGGCCAGGCACCAGGGCCCACCCTCTTCATGCCAACCAGTTAGGGCCATCCAAGACCCGGTGAGATGCTGACGCCCAGTGGGAGAATTGGTGGCCATCTCCTAGGGCGCTCCCGAAAGGAGCCCCGTCAGACCCCCAGAGGGGGCATGGAGGCCTCTTGGGCATTCTGCCCAGCTCCCCTCTTGCCCAGGAGTCACAGGAACTGAACAAATGGTGCAGTGGCAACCCCAGGCCCTCTTTGTGACCAGGCCTGGAGAGGGGGCTGTAAGTGGTGATCTCCTCTTTCTTTCCTCCCCAGAGCACTCGGGTCGGCAGCGGAAGCCCCAAGGCAGAATGTGGCCACCCTGGATCACAGCCCGATCCTGAAGACCCAGCCTCAGCAGCTGGGCAGAGGCCTGGAGGGCAGCCAGAGCAGGGCAGGTGGGCCTGGGCAGAGGGGAGATGCCTGTCCAGCAGCCCCTAACTTAATAGTTGCATTGTGGTGGTGGTAAGGCTCCAGATGCTGCACTCTGGCCGGAGCTGTTGGGAATTGTGGTTCAGCAGCCCCCAGAGGTACCCGGGGCCTCTGACCACTGTGGGGAAGCCGTGGGCGAGGGCACGATTGAGCCAAGGTAGGGGGTTCTGTCTTTGCAGTGAATGGAGAGACTGAGAGCTCTGCAGCCGAGGCTGAGGAAGAGGGGGCTGGGCCCCCAGAAGGATCCCCCCAGCCCAGTGCGGCTCACCCCCCCGCAGAGGCAGAGGAGCCAGGCTCAGGCAGCCAGTCCTCCCAGGGGGCAGTCCAGGTGCTGGAGACTCTGCCATCTGGGTAAGGGGCAAGGAACCCTCCACCTTGAGAGCCAGAAGGGAGGGAGCGTCTTTGGGTTTGTTCAGCAGACAGGAGGAGGGGGGGCTTTGGGGCAGGCCTGGAAGGAGAGGCCGGCAGTCTGGCACACAGCTCTGGCCTCCCTCCACAGAAGACTCTTTCGCCTGCCGACACCCCCCTCCCCCTGGAGCCCAGCCTCCCACATTTTCCAATGGAAGCGCTCCTAGTACGGTGTCTTCTGGGTGGGTGTGTCACTGCCAGGTTCTCAGTGTGTCCTTGTGTAATTGTGTGAGCCCTGTTCTGTTTGGCTTAGAGGCTGCTGGAAAAATCCCAGCCTCTCAGAAGCTCTTTCATCCCCTGCCTCGTCCGGGGATCGGCTGCGGTGAGCAGAGAGTCCCTGTGGTCCGGGGGCCCTGGGCAAGACTCCCGTGTGCAATCCCTGAATCACCTTTCCCCCAGAAGGTGGGGGTCCCTGGTGGCTTCACACCCCGACTTGTGCTTGCCCTCCGTTCTTCTCCAGTGGCCCAGAACCCCACTTTGCCCAGCCCAATTGGCCTCAGTGAGGGCTTCAAAGTGCTGGAGCTGGGCTTTGCAGGGGAGACGGTTTCCTGGGGACCCCATTCAGAAGGCCCCTCCCCAGCGGACTTACTGGCTGCCCCCATTTCCTGTCCTCCAGCCCAGCATCTGGTTCCTATCAACAGTGCGTCTGGGGACAGCCAGCCAGCCGTCCCCATTAACCCAGGGCGTGCGCCCGCTCACCATTCGCCTGTCTCTGCTGCACACAAAGATGCATTATGCTGCTCGCCACAAGCACAGTACAGGCACGAGGCTGGGCCTCTTGCTCAGCCTGGCTGTCTTGCTCCCAGTAAGGTGCCTCTGCTGCAGCCGCCTGAGAGACGAGCAGCCCGGGTTGCTGTGCTTGGCCCGCAGCTTGCTTGCAGGTGCTGTGGGGGGGGGGACAGCAGCAGCTGTCTTTGCTGTATTTAAGAGTCTACTCCTCAGGAGTTTGAGAGCATGAGATCCTTGACCAGGGAGATGCCTGTCAAGGGCTGCAGTTGTTCTCCCTGGCCAGACAAAATTGGGAGGGGGATCCTATTTGAGACGGCAGAGATTGCATTCAGGCACTTGCTATGAGTCCCCACAAGGCCCAGCTTGATTTTCCAAGAGATTCCCAAACCCACAGAGAGAAGTCGGGGGGGGGGGTTCCCCCACAGTTCCCCTCATTTTCTTCTCCTTTCCTTCAGGTGGGAGCAGCGAGAGCTGCCTAACGGGAGGGTCTACTATGTGGACCACAACACCAAGAGCACCACCTGGGAGCGCCCCCTTCCACCAGGGTAGGTACTGCAAGTTGCAGGGCTTGACCGGGGCATGCGCCTGCGGCACCCAAGGCAGCAGATTCTGGCTTCAGGCGAGGAGATAGAGGGCGGTGCCCCCCCGCTCCAAACACCCCTTGGCCTGGCCAGCAGCCTGGAGGTGCTGAACGCCCACAGTCATGGGGGACCCTGACAAGGCCGCCTCCCTTTTCTGTGTAGCTGGGAGAAACGTGTGGACCCCCGTGGCAGGTACTACTTTGTGGACCACAACACACGCACCACCACGTGGCAGCGCCCCACAGCTGAGTACGTGCGCACCTACGAGCAGTGGCAGAGCCAGCGCAACCAGCTCCAAGGCGCCATGCAGCAGTTCAGCCAGAGGTTCCTCTACCAGGTAGGGGCCACCATCCCCCCCGGGGATACCGCTGCAGCACGTCCCTTCTCTCAGAGGCAAAAGACCCGGCTGGAAATTGACACCAGGTCTGAAAGAAGGGGGGTTGGGACCCGCAGTTGAGGCAGACCCCCCTTGCATTCTCAAAGTTGGAGGATCCCAGGATCTTTCTGGCTTCACTGAATCTTCCAAGAAACCTGGAGATGGGGCCCATATATGGGAAGCGGCCATCTTTAATCCAGACGGCAGTCAAACGAAGGCCGGCAGAGCAGGAACCAAAAGCCCTTTTGGTTTAATGAGTTGCCCTGAACTGCGTTGCTCAGTAGCACCAGATTCAGCCTCATTTCACAGGTTATCAGGAGCCTCTTTAGGACTCTCGGCTGCCCAGCTCTGAAGACCCGGCAGCAGGGGCAGCCGTGCAGTGCATGGCAGGGGGCTAGGTAGGTGGGGAGGGAGAAAGGGAAGGGAAGGGGAAGGGAAGGAAGGAGAAGGGAGGGAGGGAAGGGTTGGAAAGAGAGGAAGGGCTCCATTCCCTAGTGTGACAGGGCCAAGGACGCTGGTGGCAGGTCGCTCTGAAAAGGCACCTCCAGTGCCCTTCATTGGCCCCACAGTCCTGGGGCTGGAGTGGCTAGGCGTTTGGGAAGCAAAGTCCCTAACAAGCTGCTATGTGCAACTTCACAGTGTAGGCTAGGATTCAACTCCCCCACCTTTATTGGGTGGGAATTAGTTCCACGCACCTTTAGGGCACAATGACTGCTTTTTCAGTCTCCTAGCTCTGACTACTCTGGCTGGCTGCTCTCTCTGGAGACCTTGCTGAGAGCTGGGGAGGGGGCTATCTAAACAACCGGCTGTGGCGGCTGCTGCTGGCAGCTGTGCCGCACCTCCCGCCCCACCCCCTTGGCCCTAGAGTTGCATAAAGGTGCTTTGTACCGGCCTGGGCGGAGGGGGATGCTGGGGAGACGCCTGTCTGGGTGGCATGAATGTGCCCTCTCAGGCCGAGCCTGCTTCGCGCCCAGGCGCTGGTTTCACGGCTCCGTGCGAGGGGGAGGAGGCGGTGGTGGGCGGCAGGCTGAGCCAGGAAGCTCTGGGCGTGGCGGGCTGCTGGGAATGATTTCATTGGAAAGGCCTGCGATATTTTTTCCCTGTTGTGTGTGGCTGGAGGAGGCTGGCTGTGGGGCTGTGGTGGGGCTCATCGCCTCAGCCAGCACGGGGCCAGAGGCGCTCCCACTCTTGCCCTGAGCAGGACGCGCCAGATGCCGCTCGGCTCCCCTTGAGCCCCTGGGCAAAGTGGGCAGCGCCAGGGGTGGAAGAGGAGCCACTGGCTACTGCCTCCAAGCCTGACCAGCCTGGCACTACTGGCTTTGCTCCTTCCAGTCCTCCGGCACGGCCGCTGACAATGACCCCTTGGGCCCACTTCCTTCTGGCTGGGGTAAGTACTTCAACCTCTAGTGCAGACTGCTCTGGGCTCTGAATTCAAATCCTGCCTTTGTAAATCTGCCAGAAAATCTTGTCCCCTGCACTGAAGGGCCTCTGTTGGAGTTCCTGCATTTACCCCTTTTCTTTTCACATGTGGGGCAAAGTGGGGAGGTGGAAACTTCGTTACTGATGAGTCCAGCTTGCCTGGGAGATCCCTGAGAGCTGTGCAGGTAGGGGAGACCGAGGGAGCCCCAAAGTCTGTGACAGGAATCTTGGGGGGGGGGAGTGACGAAACAGCCTCATGGCAGCTTTGTGGCCCTTGCAGTGCAGCACAAGCCAGGGAACCAGGAGCCCACCTGCTCAGGAGTGATCCCCACAGTCCTGTGGTAGTGAAGCCTAGTGAGAGATGGCTTGGAGCTGCACCAGAGTCCAGGAAGCTCTCAGTGCGAGGCCTCCCTTGGGCAGCTGTTCTCTTTCAGCCCAGCCCATCTCGCAGGGTTGTGGGGAAGATGGGAAGCAGCAGCATTCTGTACGCTGCCTGGAGTCGTGCAAAATACAGCTGGGTTATCAATAATGTTCCCTGCCTTTCCGAGGGTCGGAGTCCCCCATTCTTAAGGCAGAAGAGCCAAATGGTTTTTCTGGGGTGCTGTGAGCGTTCTCAGCTGGGCAGGGGAGAGGGGTGCGGGGCTGGGGGCAGAGCAGAATGGCAGGACCTTCAGACCTGGAGGAAAGAAGCAGGGAGGAGAGAGGAGGGGGTCTGCCACGAGGCCCTTCGGCAGGACTCCCAGTTGTGCTCCTTGGGCCCCGAGGCTCTGGTGGCCAAGACAGTCCCAAGAGGCACAGACCATGTGCAGAGGGCCCCGCAGCAGGCAACCTGAGCCTGATGGGACTAGCGTGAGCCCCTGGGGCCTTCCAGGTGCTCCTGCTCTCCACTTGACCTTAACCAGTCAACCCCCTGGCCTTTCTCTGGGGCCGAGACTGAGCAATTAAGCGCCCGTCCCTGGGCCTGTACTGCCCTTCTCAGGTGGGGCATTTGTCCATCACATGGGTTAGAGAAGGCAGTCCTTCGGGGCCCATCTTAAGCTGGTTCAGGCAAGGGGGTCCTGGGGTCCCTAAGAAGGGAAGGGCCTGAACCAGAGCCCTTCAATGTCAGCAGACAACTCCGGCTTTGGGGTGGGGTGTGCTCCCGGCTTCCCTCCTGGTTAAGCTGTTGGGGGTAGCTGTGCCAGATCTTTTCAGAGGTCTTCTTGGGGCTCTGCACTCTTGTCCAGAAGTGTCTCCCCATCTCTCCTTCCCTTACAGAGAAGCGGCAGGACAACGGGCGAGTGTACTATGTGAACCACAACACCCGCACCACACAATGGGAAGATCCTCGCACCCAGGGGTGGGTAGCACACCAGCACGCCTGAACTGCCTTCTGTGGCTTGCCAGATGGAGTCCTAGCGCCCCTTTTAGTCTGCTGGCTGGAGGGCCAGGCTTGGGTGCTCCCCCCCATGTCCTGCCTGCTCCCGGAGGGGCCTCGAGACAGGACAGGACGGGCCCAGCAGGCAGGGAGGGAGGGAGGGAGGGGATGCGGCCAAATCACTAGCTGGGCATCCTTCCCTCCCATGGCCAGGATGATCCAGGAGCCGGCACTGCCCCCCGGCTGGGAGATGAAGTACACGAGTGAGCGGGTACGATACTTTGTGGATCACAACACCCGCACCACCACCTTTAAAGACCCCCGCCCTGGATTTGAGTCTGGGTATGTCCCTCCCTAACCCTAACCCTGACTGCTCTTTAGAAGGCCAGATCCTGAAATTGAAACTCAAGTACTTTGGCCACCTAATGAGAAGGAAGGACTCACTGGAGAGGAGCCTAATGCTAGGCAATTGAAGAAGGGGAGGGCAATAGAAGAAGGGGACGACAGAGAATGAGGTGGCTGGATGGAGTCAGCGAAGCAGTAGGCGTGAGCTTAAATGGACTCCAGAAGATGGGAGAGGACAGGAAGGCCTGGAGGAACGTTGTCCATGGGGGTCGCGATGGGTTGGACACGACTTCGCAACTAACAACATGTCCCTCCCTGCCTTGCGAACTCTGTGGCTCCCGTGGCCTTGCGAAGCGAGCGGGGGCTCCTTGGAGCTGGTGCCCTGCATGGACAGCTGGGCCTCTGGGCGCCCCAAGTGCTGTGGGAACCTTCAACTCTGTCTTCCCTCCTAGGAGCAAGCAGGGGGGCTCCCCAGGCGCTTACGACCGGAGCTTCCGCTGGAAGTTTCACCAGTTTCGCTTCCTTTGCCACGTGAGTCCTTGGGGAGCAGGACGGGCAGTGCCAAGGGACAGCTGGGGGAGGGGGGCTGGCAGCGCAGCCAGTTGGACCCTCACGGCCCTTTCTCCCCCACAGTCCAATGCCCTCCCCAGCCACGTCAAGATCAGCGTCTCGCGGCAGACGCTCTTTGAAGATTCTTTTCAACAGGTGAGGCTGAGCTTTACGGGGGAACCCCTGTCTGCCCCCCCCCCCCGTCTGACTCTCGTTGCGGCTTCTCTTTCCAGATCATGAACATGAAGCCCTACGACCTGCGGCGCCGGCTGTACATCATCATGCGTGGGGAAGAAGGACTGGACTATGGAGGCATTGCCCGGTGAGTGTCGGCAGGGTATGATGGTCAACCCCCCCCCCAAAAAAAAACTTTATCCGGTCCTCCTGGAAGGTGTGGAAGAAGCAGGCAGAAAGGAGCAGGGCAGCCACGGACTTCTGCCTGCCGATGGCCGCTAGGAATTCTTGCCACTGCCGCGAGGCCCCCTCCACACCCGGCCCTGCCAGGGGCACCTGACGTGTCTCTCGGTGGCCCGCCAGTGGTTTTACCCTATGGTAGGTGACCTGGTGCTGTTCTACCACAGGGTAGAACCACGGACGGGATGCCGGGCTCTACACCGCGCAAGGCAGCCAGGGCTGGGGAGAGGCTGTGGGGGGGGGCTGCTGTGGGGGACAAGGAGCTTCACCGGCCACTCCTCTCTCCCCAGCGAGTGGTTCTTCCTCCTGTCCCACGAGGTGCTGAACCCCATGTACTGCCTCTTCGAGTATGCCGCCAAGAACAACTACTGCCTGCAGATCAACCCTGCCTCCTCCATCAACCCTGACCACCTCACCTACTTCCGTTTCATTGGCCGCTTCATCGCCATGGTGAGCCAGTCCCTCCCTTCCAACCGCAGGGGGACCAAAGCTACGTGCCCCCCAAAGTTCTGCCCAGCTGGCTGGGGTTAAAGCCCAGATGTCTGCCCACCTTCAGTGCTTTGGGCAGAGGTGGGCTGGTGGGGATGGGCAGCAGCCTGGCTGGCCCAGAGCGCCCCCTCCAGAGGCAACTTGTTTGTAAGGGGGGGGTACTTCATTTGGAGCAGTGGTTCTCAACCTTTTTAATGCTGCGACCCCCCCCCAATCGGTCGTAAGTCGAGGACTACTCAACCGGTCGTAAGTCGAGAACTACTAACTGGTGCAGCACCGTTTGCAGAATGGGACTTTTGGCGGGCTCAGCAGGGCAGAGACAGCCTGGACAATTCCTATTGGCTTTTGAAAGCCAATAGAATTAGACTCTATTGGCTTTCAAAAGCCAATAGGATAAAAGGGAGTAGCACAGCTAAGGAAAAGGGGGGAAAAAATGGCGGACTGCGTTGTTTGGCGACCCCCATGAAATGGTCGTTCGACCCCAAATGGGGTCCCGACCCACAGGTGGAGGACCACTGATTTGGAGCAAAAGGGCTCCCCGACTTGGTAACGTCGGAGGGGGAGAGCCACCTTAGCCTAGAATAGCCAAGTGAGGTAGAATCCACTGGCACAAATCTGATAAAAGAAAGATGATTTGTAAGATGATGCCTTTGAATGGCCTTTATTAGTCAGGGAGGGTGGCGTGTGATGCTTCGCCCCTGGGCCAAGTGGACCTTTCCAGGCCCTTTCCAGCACCGCCTGCTTGCTCGTGGGGCCTCCTTTGGGGGGCCACCTTCCTTTCCTCTTGGGGAAAAAGCAGGGCTGGGGGGGGGGTGTCAAGTTATGGGGTCTGGCTGCCAGCAAGGGAGGGAAGGAGCAGGGGCTACAAGACCTGGGTGCTTTGAAAAGGAGGGAAAGAAAAAAATATCGGGAAAATAAGACAGTGCATTTTGTCGGCATGAAAACATTTCCTTTTCTTAAAAAAAAAAAAAAAACAGTATTCCCTCTCTGCTTAAGACCGCCTTGTTTCTTTTAGCGTACAAATCAGGCATAACTGAGGCTGGCCTAACTGCTGAAGCAAAGGGACACAGGCAGTGGCCTTTGTGTTCCCTCTCCAAACGTAACCTCACCGTTTCTTAGCAGAGAGGGAAGAGACAGTGCCCTCTTCACCAGCCCCGGTGGTGGGAAGCTTTGGCTCTGCCCCCCCTTGCACCCTGTGGGCAGCTCTGGGCAGGCAGGCCTGTGGCAGGCTGCTCTGGGGACACCGCTGGGCTTCTGTGGCGGGACACAGAAGGCGGCTAGCACAGTTGTTGCTTAGAGCCCAGTTCAGCTGCTGAGAGGCTGGACCGCCCTTCGGGTCTCGGGCACAGGACTGGCGCCTTGAGAGGGCCCCTTTCTTTGCAGGCCCTCTACCATGGCAAGTTCATCGACACGGGCTTCACCCTGCCCTTCTACAAGCGGATGCTGAACAAGCGCCCCACCCTCAAGGATCTGGAGTCCATTGATCCCGAATTCTACAACTCCATCCTCTGGATCAAGTCAGTTCCCCCGAGGCCTGTCTGGGGCCCTGCGCAGGGGCACCCTCGGTGTCTGCAAGAGAGCAGAACCCTCTTGCTCTCCTGGAGGGAGGGGGGCAAAGGGGGTGGGTTCCTAGCTGCCAAGCCCCTTGCGCTGTGGTGTCTTGGGGTTTAGGAGGGGTTGGGGAGGGGTTGCTGGCCAGAGTTCTGCTTGGCCTTGTGGAAGGTGCTTTGAGGCCCCGGGCCCCGTCCAGGAGGCCAGCCCAGCTTCTCTCTGGCGCTTGCAGGGAGAACAGCCTGGAAGAGTGCGCCCTGGAGCTCTACTTCATGCAGGACATGGAAGTCCTTGGCAAGGTGACCACCCACGAGCTGAAAGAGGGCGGGGAGGAGCTCCGGGTCACTGAGGAGAACAAGGAGGAGTACATCATGTGAGCTGAGTCCTCTGGACCTTCCTGCTGGTGGCCCCGGGGGTGCTTGGGACCCTGCAGGGCCGAGCAGTTGGGCCATCGGGTTTTGCCAAGGGGGAGGAGGGTGGCTGAGGGTGACTTGCTCTGGGGGTGGCTGAGTGGCCTTCTCCCCTTGCAGGCTGCTGACTGACTGGCGGTTCACCCGGGGTGTTGAGGAGCAGACCAAGGCCTTCCTGGACGGCTTCAACGAGGTGGCCCCTCTGGAGTGGCTGCGCTACTTTGACGAGAAGGAACTGGAGGTGAGCAGGCTGCCACGTGGGAGCAGGGACCGCCACTCTCTTCTCAGGAAGCTGCCCTGAGAGCCAGAAGCCTCACAGCCTCATCCGGCCGAGGGAGGCTGCTGATAGTTGCTCAGGGTCAGTTTGGGGTTTTGGGCCCCAGAGTCAGCTTTTGACCTTGCAGAGGTGCCTGAGGTTTTCTTGACAGGCTTTCCAGAAGTGGTTTGTCATTGCCTTCTCCCTGGGGCTGAGAGGGAGTGGCCGGCTTTCATGCGTCTGCCCATTTCTAGCCTGGTGCTTTAAACGCAACACCAAACCGGCTCTATAGCCAGTCAGTCAGATGAGCTAAAAGTACTCCGAATGAGAAGGGCATTCTGGGTGGACGAGAGGGTTGCCTTCCAAGCCTCCCTTCGAGGGCCAGTCTCCCCCGTGACCAGGCTGGCAGCTCCTGCCCTGCTCCCAGCACTGGCAGGGCCGTTGCACCGTCCAGGAAGGCCACTGCAGGTGGTCTTGTTTTATTCCTCTGCAAATGCACATAAGGAAGCATCTTTCATTCATGGCCTCGGCTTCATCGGTCAGCAAGTTGTTGCAGTTTTCTTTGGCCTGCCGAGAGAGCTTGCCTCAGGCTCCCTCCCGGAAGCCTCTTTGACAGGTGGCACCGACTAGGTCTCCTCCTGCTTTTTCCCCAGCTGATGCTGTGTGGCATGCAAGAAATTGACATGAGCGACTGGCAGAAGAACACCATCTACAGGCATTACACCAAGAGCAGCAAGCAGATCCAGTGGTTCTGGCAGGTGAGGAACCAGAGAGACCAGGAGGGCTCTGCAGCCCCTCAGCCCTTGGATCCTTTGGGGGGGGGGAATGACCCTAGGACTGGTCAAGAGATCTACCATCTCCTCGCCCATCTGGTGGTTGCAGGTGGTCAAGGAGATGGATAACGAGAAGAGAATCCGGCTTCTCCAGTTTGTGACAGGGACGTGCCGCCTGCCTGTTGGAGGATTCACAGAGCTCATTGGTAAGTCTGTCCCCCCCCCCCCATGGAAGAATGGAGAAGGAGGGCCCATTTGGAATGTCAGGCATCCTGTTCCCAGATGTGCAGTGTATTTCCTTCATGGCTCTTCTCCATCAGGCAGCAACGGACCCCAGAAGTTCTGCATTGACAAAGTTGGCAAGGAGACCTGGCTGCCCCGCAGCCACACGTGGTGAGTCAGCATGGCAGGACCTGCAAGCCCCCCCCAAAAGGGAGCAGAGCTGCCCCTGCCAACCAGCCCTTGCCTCTTTCAGCTTCAACCGCCTGGATCTGCCTCCCTACAAGAGTTACGAGCAGCTGAAGGAGAAGCTGCTTTACGCCATCGAGGAGACCGAAGGATTCGGGCAGGAGTGAGGGGTGTCTGGAAGGAGCCTGAGAAGAGCCATCCTGCCTGTCAGGAAGGACAGAATCCTGGGGGGCACGGCATGGAGTGACCCTCTTGGGGATCGCTGGAGCAAGATCTTGTAGCGGAAGCTCCCCCTGCAAGATTGGGGGGGGGCTGGATCCCAGAGTCCCTCTCCTGCTCCCTCCTGAGCTGCATTTTCCTGGCCTCTCAGCCTCCTATCGTGGGCACTTTGGGTCTCCTGCAGACCCCCCTCTCCCCAACTTCTGTCCAGCTGCTCTGGCCAGGGCCTTTCCTCACCCACAGAGCACTTCAGCAACCCTCCCCCCTCCGCCCGCCTTAATATTACCAGCTGGGCTGGGACTGCTACAGACTGGCTGGCCCCGAGACCTCAGTTGGGGCAGCTTCCACTGGCTGCTCTCCAGCCTGGAAGATGTGACTCAGGGCAATCCTGCCTGTTCCCAGATAGTGCCCGGCAGCCTCGGCTTCTTTGCAGACCAGCTCTTGCTGTCAAGGCGCAGCCCCTGGCCTCTGGAGAGCCACAGCCAAGAGACAGGTCTGGAGCCTGGCCACAGCAGGGCCTTGGGAAGTATCCTTGAAATCTCCAGGCCAAGTTGAGCAAAGGGCCCCAAAAGCAGGCAGCATCAGGGACAGTTGAAGGACTCCCTCGTGGTCGATCTGCGTGTGAATATTTGAATTCTGTGACTGATTGCCCCAGCTTGAGTTTGTGGCAGGGAAGCAGAGGCCGCTCCAGCCCCAGGAAGGGTGGGCTTGTGCACTTTGCACTCTTGGGGGGCCCTTGACCTCCATGGAGGATATGTGTATGAATGTGTATAAAAACATATGTGAATATATAAATTTGTATATAAATGTCTCTGGACACAAAGAATTGCAATAGCTTTTGATGGGTTCTTAAGTAGTTTTGTACCACACCATCTGCCTCAGTGATGCCACCTCTTGTGCAATAAACTATCCGCAGCTGCTCATGCGTCTCTGTGCTGGGGGGGGGGGAGGACATAATCAGCAGGTGACTCATTTCCAAGTGAAAAGGGAGGGGGGAGCAGCTACAGTGGAAAAGAAGGGAGGCTGAGCTCAAGGGAGTTTTCTGCCTCTTGGACTGACTCCTGGCACGGTACCTGCATTGTACTCTGCTTGTTGGTGACTGTACCGTGTTTATGGTGTGGGCAGTCTCTGTACCTGCCTCTCTTCTGAATGGCATCAGTCCCAGCGCTGAAGCTGCAGAGCAGCCAAGCCTCTTTTTTAAAAAAAACACATTTTATTGGTTTTTTAATTCTTAAGAAAAGGTACTCAGGACACATCGTGGTGTTTGGGTAATCAAACATTCAAAAAGTGAAAACATATATAAACAACTGTCCCCTCTCTATTTCCCTCAAATAGCATAATATGTTTAAAATATTCCATTTCTAAGTTAAATTTCTATTACTGCTAAACCTGTTTTAAAACTTCATCAGTTTACAAATACCATAATCAAATTTAACTTTAAATCAATAAGTTATCTATTCAGGTATCCCTTCCAGATATATTCTAATTCTTAATCTCTCACATCCCTCATTTTATCACCAATCTCATTTATTTCTTCTCCCACTACACAATAGATATCCTAATTAAAATAACATATTAATCTACCCTATACATATATAATCCCACAATCTCTTTAAGATAACAAAATAATGTGAAACCTTAAATCATTTCAATTAATCAAACAAAATTCAAATTTCCTCCAATTGATTATCATGCCTTATCACATTTATGTTATCAAACAAAAAGGTCATTTTACTAATTTAAAACAATTAATTATTGAAACCATCCAAATCTAAAAAATCAACATTTTTTTAATTCCAATACATAATAATTTTCTTCAAAATAAATCTATTATTCCAAAAGGTACATTCTTAATCTATTTAAAATATCTATTCTAATAATCACCCTCCTCTATATTTTTTTCTTACTTCTAACTCTAAGTCTTAATCCTTAAAACAGTCCATAAATCCAAGATTGCCTTTTAATTCATTACACAATTTTAAATTTCTCTTTTCAGTCTGATTCTGGCTTTTTTTCTGTTCTAGGCAGGTTTCCATAACCAAGCTTCCCTTTCAGCCAGTAGATCTATTTTTGTTGCTTGCAGCGATCTTTGAAAGGATAGGAATCCCATCCTCTGCACTAGGCATCTATTTCTCTCATCCTTAAAGCATTGTTGCTTTGTAGTTTCAAATCTCTGTCTTTGCTTCTTCTGTTCCTCAAAGTTACAGATGGAAAGTTTATAAGATAGAATAAGTTCCTCTTTTATCTCTGGTGATTCCTCTTCTAGTATGTTTTGATTTAGAATAGTCAGATGTAGTCTGGACATCAGTTTGAATGTTTGAAGTGAGATTTCTGGATCTTAATTCTGTAGTAAACTCTTTCATTGTAGCACATATTTCTGCAGTAGCCTCATAAATCTTTTCCAATATAAGTTTACAGTTTAATTGTAACTGAGGTTTCTCCATTTTGATAGTAATAAAAAAGAATCTCTTTTTTCTTTTTTGTGGAGGCTATATTTAATAAAAGTTAGGCAGTGTCCATCCCCACAATTCCCACAGCTGCACAGCTTATCTTTTCTCTTCAAAAATAATTTGAAGGTCAGATCTATTCCATCTTCAAAGAGTAACCAGAAGTTGCAGTATTACATTTTCGCCACTAGATGTCCTCAGTAGGTTAAAAAATCTTTTCCAGACACCATTTCCTTTTTTCTATCTTTTAAAGTATAATGTGAAAAATGAAATAATCTTCCAGCATAAGATGATAGTAGAGAGAGAAAAAAAATTCTGTACCCCCCAAAAATATGGAAATAAAATATAGTCTTTAAAATTTTGCTCTATTTTTATACAATGCCTTTTTTCCCAAACATGTAGAAGCTGCTTTTTCAAATCAGGGAAATAATTCCAACAAGGCTCTTACAGGCACAAAAAACCAAAATAGAGTAGAGAGAGTAGCAAGGAAAAGTTTCACCTGGATTCACGTGGGTTCTTACAGCTTAGATGTTCTTTGACTTGCGGTTTGAAGCGGCAGGGTGATCGGCCATTTTACTGGCCGATCTTCTTCTCCGTCGGCCCTCAGAGATAGCTGGGACAGCTGGAGAAGCCGCCGCTCCTCCATAGACGAGCAAAGCCTCCTCGACAGAAGTTGCACCCTCCAGAGCGACTTTCGACCCACATAAGGGTCTACTGGTGGAGGGAAAACTAGCCAACGAGGAGACGAGTCTCCCCGTACGACTAGGGATGCCGCAAACTGGAACCGGAAGTCAGCAGCCAAGCCTCTTAAGGCAAAACCAGATGCTCCTGGAAATGCTCCTGGTGCAAAAAGGGGCTTGTGTGTTTCCTCTGGCTGGAAGTGGCAAGTGGGTTCTTTGCTTTGCCAGGGGCCCTGTTCCAAGGCAGGCGCCTAGAGAGAGCACCATTGGCCTGGTGAAGTCTTCTGGTTGGTGGGCGCTTGCCTAAGTGCAGAAGAGCAACAAGAGGTCCAGGGAGATCAGGAGCTGAAGGAAGAGAGGGAGGTTGAAGGGGTGTGTGTGTGTGTGAGGCAGCTCTTGGCAGGATCCAGGTGTCCATGTATGCGCTCCGAGGGTGGAGAGGAACCTGGTCTGGCACAAAGGGCTCTGCTCCCCTGGCCTTGGCTCTAGGTGCCTGGCAAAGGAGCAGCCAGATTTTGCTTGGCTCAAAGCTGAATGTTTCTGTTGCGAAGGCAGGATCCTGCTCTTCGCTGGGGGAACAGGGAAGGGCTCTACAGCACCGGGTGGGAAGTCAAAAGGCCAGCAGAGGGCCCTTTGCTAGCCCATGAACATGCATTCCAGTTGTAGATTTTGCTCCCCACCAACTTCAAACTGCTTATGGTGGTGCTGCCACCTTCCCTGCCCCCATGTCCTTTCTTGCTGTGAAGCCAAGTGATTGGAGGAGCATGGGCACTAGGGGTGTTTGGGCAGAAGGGTGGGCGTCCTTCAACTGTGCCACTTGCCACCTCTCCCATGGACGAAACCCTTGGGGTGGGTTGGTCTGGCTGCTGACTTTTCTCCAAAAGGAATGGAGCTTCCACTCTCACAGCCACGGTGAGTTGCAATTCCTTTCTCCCAGCCACTTGAGGAGGGAAGCCCCAGGAACACCTCAAGCTCAGCGGGACCCCTGGAAGTGGACCTCCCCCTTTGCCCAGGAATGTGACTTTTTGATCTGCCCCCTATGGAGGGACTTGGTCAGAACTCCTGGCTCAAACCAGCCCTGACCCTGTTTGTGAAGTTCCAGAGCTTTGGATAGGTCCCTCTTAGTTCATGGCCAGAAAGAGAGTCTATTCTCTGGGGAAGAAACGAAGAGGCGGATCTCCAGCTTCAGGTCATTCACCCGGATTGGCAAGACAGTGATGGACTGGGACAAGATCATGCAATGGCAAAGTGAGAAAAACTGATTCGAATTGGGATACTCTTTTAAGGCAGCTTACACATTTTGAATATACTCAGATAGTGGGAGTGGCCAACCCCAGCATTTATTGCTCTCTTCACTACCAAAAATCAGAACTCTAGGGCAGAAATCTAGGACAAGCTAAATTTACAAACTGTAGCGGTTAAAAAGCTAAAACCAACAAACTTCCATATGAAACCAGAACATCAACTTTAGGCTCTTCTGGCTAAGCTGGAAGTAGGAAATGTAGAGAAAAATAACAATTTTAAGGCTCTCTTAAAAAAAATATCTGGCAAGACCCTTACATGCTTCCCAAATAAGGAAGTGTAAACAGTGCCACAGCACCTACTTCCTACAGCAAGTTGTGCATAGAGCTGACACCTGGTGGTGCAAATCACAAGTGCAAAAATCTGGGCTCCAGCTTTTTTAATATGAACCTCTTGCTGCCCCTCAGCACAGAAGAGACCAGAAAGAGTCTTCCCTGCCCCATGTTTCCCCCAAACGAAGCAGACACCAGAGCAACCCTTAGTTGGCAGGATGGCAGCACCCAGGGAACATTCAGCTTCTTAGCAAGAATGCAGAAGGGCTGCCTTCCCAACAGCAGTCCTCCATCCTGCATGGATAACTGGGAAGATGTTCCAGGCAGGAAGATGTAAAAATCATAGCGGAAGCTTGAATTTAGCTGGACCCTGGCTTAAAAACAACCCCCCCCCAAACTGCCCGTGGGTGATGATCCCACCTGCTTTGAAGCCCACAGCCTCCCAAGGATACCAGTGTCACCTGGGCCGCAAAGGATCCAGGCTTCTTTTCCCCATAAGGCAGAATGAAGGCCCAGTTACATTCTGGCCTGTCCAGCAGCCGCTGCAAGCACATTTCAGGCAGCCATGGACTCATCTGGCTCTCGGTGCCCCCCAAGCCACAGATAGGGAAAAATCTTCAACTCGAGCAGCCTGGTGCAATTTAATGCTTTTAATTTACAAATACAAAACCTGATTACGACTACTTCTTCTCCTTCTTCTCTTCTTTCTTGACTTCGCTTTTTTCCTTCTCCTTTTCCTTGTCATCTTTCCTCTCCTTCTTACTCTCTTCCTTCTCCTGCCCCTCCTTCTTCTCGGCATCTCTGTTGGCAATCTTGTTGTTGATGAGATTGTGCAGCGCTACCACCGAACGGATCAGAGAGGCCAGGTAGACCACCACCATCTGGTCGTTGGTCTTTAGGTAAAAGGCTTTGACGAATTCTTGCAGATTGACATCTGGCAATAGGTTGAAGACATCCTGGAGCTGGTAAATGATCTGGTGGTTGATGGGAAGCTTGCCAACTGCCACTTTTTCTAAGTAGCTCCTGATATCTAAGAGCTTGGAATTCAGTCCCTTCAAACCATGGACCTGATTGGTGATGCGCTGGGAAAGCGTGCCCACTGTGGTGTCCTTAATGTCGCTGGAAGAGCGAGAGAGGAGGAAGCAAGTTGTGTCAACAGAACAGGCTATTCTCACGGTCATCCTCCAGGGGGCTCTTCTGAGTAATCTGAACCCAGAA